TTTCATGTTTTCAATCATGGTACTCAAGTGATTTGATGCACTTCGCGGGGTAAGACCCGTTTTATTACAATATAGATCTTGATTATCGATCAGATCGCCGTCACTGGGCGCCGCCATTTTGTTTGAAGCAAATGCAAGCGATATGAGAGATGGGATCTGATTCCGTATATGTATTTACTTGAACCCTCCTACGTTTATCTTCGATGTCATATATAATGAAGGTAGTTTAACATTTTATTACTTCATTATATATATATAAATATATATATATATTCTTAAATTCACGTATTTGCCCTCAGAAACGCAGGGTGCGATGTTGAAACACATTCATATACTGTATTTTTTTAATCACTTAATTATTTGATCGATCATATAAAGACGCTTTGAGACAATGATAGCAGGTTACAACTTGCGATGCTTAAGATGGTGAGGTGAAATGGGTATTATGTGTGTGTTTGTGTGTGTGTGTGTGTGTGTGTGTGTGTGTTAGTTAGTTAGTTAGTTAGTGTGTGTGTGTGTGTGTGTGTGTGTCTGTCTGTCTGTCTGTCTGTCTAAAGCCGGTTTTAAATTGCTAGCCCACTGAGATATCATGTCGCAGTTTAATATGAATACCCCACTCAGACACAGTATATTGACTCCAAGCCGACCAGTCCTTGTTTTATCCCCTTAATACCGAGCGCCAGGCCGGAAACACGTACCCTCTTTTAACGTCGGTTGAATACACCTTAGGTTTTGTGGTTTTAGTATAATACAGTAACATGTCTGCAGAAATCCTGCAGCTGTTTCCTGGTTTAGCCACAGTCAGCTTTCAGACACCTCGCCTTGACTCTTCCCACCCAGTGCCTAGGACGAACCCGAAATGCGTGAATTGTTTTTAACGCCTCAGTCAGCAACATTCCACTCATATCACATCATCCTGTAAATAACAGAATCTAGACCAGGCAAACCAGTGGTTGATATTATGAGCAGCATCAACGCCACTTGAACAGAAGAGACACAATAAGCCACGTCACCGAGCCTGACAACCGGATCCATTCAGTTGTCTTCGCCTCAACTGTAAGTTACAGTTCGGACTATTTTTACCGTCACGTGACTGTCACATGACACAAAGCGCCTTGGCTTCAGTCGTTGCCATCTTTCAACACACATGATCAGATAGCTCTGTGTAACCACCTGATCTGATGGCAAGAATTGGGTACTTGAAACATATTGTGTCCTAGAATCCCCACTAGGTCTTTCAGAGGCAAGGTGTGAGGACATGTAGGCTTTTATCACAGGGCTACATCACAGACCCTGCAAATATCAGAATTATAAAAATACAGTATTCAAATATATAGATTGATCCCTTAAGGGCTTTCAAATCTTGTGGCACATACATGAAGTTAAGCAACGTTGGTCGCGGATCTTGGATGGGCGGCCGCAGCTTGGCTCCTGAGAGTTTCTAGGGCTTCGGTCCTGCCCCACACAGAAGCACATGTACCACATGTGGTGTCTCCTAGGGAAAGTGGCTTTGTTCGAAATGTGCCTGTTCACCCAGCACTGAATGTGGACCCGGGCTGTATTCGCGGTAGCAATCCCGGGTACTCTCCCAATGTCAGTCAACAGACTGGGGGGTACCAAACCTAAGGCACTGAGAACAATGGGGAGTCGGACAACTTGGTACTTGGGATGCAAGCGTGACATTTCGAAAGCGAGGTCCGCGCATTTGCCATGTTTTTCCTCAATCTTGTCAATCACATTAGTGTCAAAGGGGACAGAAAATTTAATCATATAAATGTTTTCATTGGATTTATCAAGAAGGGCAAGATCAGGTTTGTTGGCCTGGATACGTCTGAGGCTGTAAATTGGCCTATTCCAAAGGATTTTGTATTGATCATTTTCCATGACGCCCCCTACATATTCCGGGTCGTATCATCATCATCATCATCATCATTATTATTATTTTTATTATTTTTATGTTGGCTTCAATTCTAACGAGACCGCCTCCATGATATTGCCTGACTATAGCATTAAGGGAATAAAACAAGAACTAAGCGGCTTGGAGACAGCATAATTTGTCTGAGTGGGGTATCCATGTTAAACTGCAGCATGGTATCTAGAACGCTAGAACCACAAAACCGGCATAAGTCTGGACTAATACAATTATGCAGCCACACACACAGGCATTCGGGTGGCTAAATGAGTGCAAAAATCTTATGATGACGTTAATTTCCATTTCTCCTCACCTTCAGTTCTGAGAATCTATTATTAGTAAATACCTGTTTGGGTGGACCTTTTGTTTACAGAAAACATATTGTGCAGCGTCAGGTAATAAATGCTGTGTTTTGTTGTAGTTTTTCCATATCATGTTATTCTACCCCGGATCTTCACGGGTCTAACTGTTGGTTTGAATGTGTGGTAAGTGAAGCTACAGTAAAATAATCACATTAACGTCTTTATAATAGTGCACCGTTAACCACTCATTCCAACTGATCCTCCTAAACTGTCTCAGTGTGGAGAGTATGGCAGCATATCCACTCATTCAAGGTTAGCCTGGAGCGGTAGTAGAGTGGTTGGACATTTCAGAATATTTTTTTGGTTCAAGAAGTCATTTTAAAATGAAGTGCAGCTTAACATGTGTTAAGCTCGTGCACCATGGTCAGTTTTTGATATAAGTTTGCAGTATAAAAACTGATTTTTACCTTTTTAAGGCCACACGTTTTTAATCTTATGTTTCACGGATTTATTCCAAATTTTCCATTCAAGGTCGTTCGAAATATAAATAAAAACAAATTATTATTTATTTATATGAAAATCATTCTGCCATGGAGATACAATTGCAGCTGGGTTCTTGAATCACTGATAGTGATGTAGACATGGAACTTCTATAAAACATTTTGATTTCATAAGAGGGTCTATATTACTGGGAGACATAATAAAATAAATATTTTCATGTTTTTAATTTATTTATTTTTTCAGCTACTTTTTCAGCAGGGAGTTGCGGGCCCATGAAATGAAAAATAAACAAGAGGCCCATAGGGACTGTATCACTCACCTGGATATTTACGCAATCATGACAAAACATACATTTGCAATGTACATGTATATAATACTGCAAATATTTCGTAAATTTGACTCTTGTCAGCATTTAAAATGGGTGGATGGCAAATCTGACAGCATGAACATGTACTTCTCTAGATACAAATGTAGCATAAAGATCTGAACCATTTCCATGTTTTGATCCAGGATAAATCATATTAAAGGTATTAATCTCTTCATAACAAACAAATGTATACAATGTATCTGTTTATTAAAAGTTTGGGGTAATACAGGTTTGCATGTTATGGTCAAGGTTCTATTACATATGCTGGACATATGAACAGAAGGTCCAGTCCTGGTAGCATATGTGCATTCCTCTAATTATACTCTCAATTGTACTTGGTTGGGATCTTAACTGTGTCCAAGTTATAAACTCTTTTTAGCTCCGCCCCTTAGTCCCTGGGGCCGGGGGTAGGGTTCAGCCCCTCCATTTCTCCAATTTGAATCCCCACCATTGAAGAATGCTTCCAACCAAATATGGTTGATATCTATCTCTTAGTTCCAGAGAGGAAGTCGTTTAAAGCAATATAGACAAAGTACCCATATTTGGCGCCGCTCCTCAGCCCTTTAGAGGGGGTCAACCCCACCATTTGTACAATTTTGAATCCCCACCACCTAGGGATGCTTCCAACCAAATATGGTTGATATCTATCTCTTAGTTCCAGAGAAGTAGTTTAAACCAATATAGCCAAATTACCCCTATTTGGCCCTGCCTCTCTGCCCCTTGGGGGGGCAGCCCCACCATTTTTACAATTTTGAATCCCCACCACCTAGGGATGCTTCCAACCAAATATGGTTGATACCTATCTCTTAGTTCCAGAGAGGAAGTCGTTGAAAGCAATATAGCCAAATTACCCATATTTGGCCCTGCCCCTCTGCCCCACCATTTCTACAATTTTGAATCCCCACCACCTAGGGATGCTTCCAGTCAAATTTCGTTACTTTCCAATTAGGGGTTAAGAAAAGAAGTCGTTTGAATAAATTGTTGACGGACGGACGCCACGGTATGGCATAAGCGCACCTTTGTCCTTTGGACCCAGTGAGCTAAAAATGGGTGGCCTCATGTTCGGTGGATCCATAAACCTGTCCATTAGAAAGTCTTGTCAAAGTTGTGTGAGATAAGTACAGTTAGGTAACCTTGAGTTTCCACTGAACATGGTCATTATTATGTAACGAAAACATGCCAGGGTGTCTATTTAGGAAATATTGCAGTCACAACATACAACACACATACCAAATTTCATTTCATTTTGAACAAAATTGGTCTTGAATGTCAACAGACATTTTTCAATATGGCTGCCATAATGGCCATATTGAAAATCAGATTCAAACCTCTGAAGTGAGTGAGTTGGGTTTAACGCCGCTTTTAACAGTATTCCAGTTATATCACGGTGTGTCAGCTTAATGTGGGAGGAAAGCCCGAAGTGATGCAGGTCTCAGACGTTTACCACTTTGGTGAAACCCACGAGCAGGAGTATGGTGCTGACAAACCTAGAAACATAATTGGGGAGAACCGGGATTCGAACCCACAATCATAGGTTTCTGGCAATCCCAAGGGACGCAACTCTGCACAGCGAATCGCGGCGCCTTAGACGACTTGGCCACCCGTGCCCCCTCAAACCTCTGGAGTGAGTGAGTTAATATTTAACGTCACATCGGCAATATTTCAGCCATATCGTGACCAAACCTCTGGAACAAATTGAGGTGTCATCATTGGTGGGTAGAATGTGAAGTGTCAACTTCATTGGTCCAGCGGTTTCTGATCAGCAGATGCTTTCATATGAAAGACAATGCACAGGGACAAACAGGCCATGATATAAGTTCACGTGACATTCAGTCAGGTGAGCTAAAAAATGTCAAGCAAAACAAGATATATTTAATTAACCTTCAAAATCACCTTTAAAAAAATGACAAAAAATGGGAACATTATAAAATATTTATTGATGATGTATTCATAATGAACCAGAATATCTACTGGTAGAAATGACTGAAGGTTTTCATAGAAAATGTACAGAAGTAAGTTGACTTAAGGTTGCACAGTATGGCGTACACGACGGAATCCTATATCACATACAAAGCTATTGATGTCAAGTTCTTAGCTAAGTCCATTCTATGAAATACACAATATGATTGCATACATGCCAGATTATTATAGGTATTGAGTATGTTTTGTTTCTATGATATTTGGTATTGTCTCAGCCAGGAGGCATATGGCTAAAGGACAGTTTAACATGACCCACAAACAGATAACCTCCAAAAACACCCCAAAAAACTCCATTTCATGAATATTTCTCATTCAATCCAATATGCTTTGGTCAGATGGAACCATACTGCACACCAATGTTTATTGTATAAATTGGATTTTTATTTTCACCAATATGAAATTGATATTGTAACAATTCAATAATTTTCTCTTTGTAATATTTGCAGAAGATATAGCCCTAAAATACGAGGTATACCATTCAAGGCGTCTGTTAACTTCAAGAAAAACTTGTCATAATCATATGACAGGGATGCAATTAATTCAGAAACATATTCTAGCCCTAATAGTCCCAAAATATACGGACTCCCATTGTAAAGATTGAAATGTTGCTCGCCCTCACAATGCAATAACATACAAACTGACTCAGGTTAGCATACTAGTGCCAATTTGTATCCCTTAAGACACAATAAGTTATTTTACACTGAAACATTTTTCATAAATAATATTATCTCAGGCTAACGGCCTAGTGCCAATTTACATCCCATTAAGTTGTTACACAACTGGTAACATTTTTCCAATTTGATAAATAATATTATCAAAGTTATCCAATAATATAATTAAAACAATGCACTAAGATTGCACTTTCCACCATATGGTTTTCCACCATATTTATCTAGGCAAGCTACAAGCTAGGACACGCTGGCAACAATCAAGTGGTGTCCTGGATGCATAGAAATGACACACCATGGTTTCAACCCATATTTTAAGTATGATACGAGTCAAAATCTATGCAATTAATTGGCAAAAATATGTTCTGTTGTCATACCTTAAAATCACACGAAAATAGACGAATCAATATGATTTCCGTTTTTGTGTGTGAAAATGAAAAAGATTGTCATTTTTTACAGCAGCTCGATCATAACAATACGTCATCAGAAGAATATACTAACAATGCAATGATAGACATTATTCTAGAGGCTGGATGAAATTTTTTTTGGTTCTACAAACAAGCCAAACCATAAATTTGCAAAAGTAAAATATATATATTGATTCAAATGTTGATTTAAACCTTCTTTGCTAATGTTTCTTTCAAAAGGGATTAACCACTACCAATCATGACTGTTTTCAGTTAGCCTTGTATCTCAGCGTATTGATTTGTAAAACAAGAAATGAAATTGGTCTGGCCTGATTAAATCATTAACAGATCAGAAAGTTATGTGGCTTTTCCTTCTATGACAAAATAATCTGAATATCTTTGAGCAATGTTGTTTCAATGAGTGACACATCAAACTTGGCAACGAAAACAAGACTTATGGCAAGGAGAGTTTGGATAGGACCTGGCAGAATATCATAGACCACACAGTACAACAGCAGCAAGTGATACACATAACTACCCAGCTTCAAACAGTCAGGAATCGGGCACAGCTCCAAACAAACCATGGAAGAACGAGGAAGCAGTGATGGTGCATGAGATGCTGAGAGCTCTCCATTATGTCTTTCTTGGCCTTAAAAGGTAGTCATCAAGCACTCGTCATAAATGCTGCTTAATATCAAACCGAGGCTAACAATATCATGTCATTTATAGCACCACTGGTTATTTCACACCTAAGTCCTAACTGAGGAGGAGAACCGGTGTTCCATTGTGAAGTATCCAGGCAGCTTGGGTTGTATACTCCCCAGGGAGCTGAGAATGATTCTAGAGTGCACACTGATTCAGTGCCCAGAGTAATAACAGCACTTTGAGCATGCCCCTGATCGGTGTGGAAACATGCGCAAAATAAATGGCCTATTATTATTATAATTATATGCTACTTGAGGTCTTCTGGCCTTTGGGCATTGCTCAATAGTTCCCTTTAAAGGTGAGCTATGCTCCACCATCTCGTGCACATTTCCAGTCCAGGTCTCTATGTTAAAACTGTGACATTATCAGGTTTGAAACACTATCAAACCTGCTAGGATAGCCAATTTTCCAAAGCCTGGCCAGGGCAATCCCTGACATTCTAAAAAAAAAAAGAAAATAGCCAAATTTATTCAGTAGCGTATGTTTCCTTATCATAAATGACCAATCAGAATTGGAATGACCCTTATTTTCTACAACGTTTCAGCATGATCAGCGTGCAAAAGGTTCCGAACACGGCAAAGGGACATAACTCCGCACATCAAGCTGCAGCACCAAAGAGCACTTGGCAGGCTCCCTTGTACAAAAGAGTTGACAATGCACAGTAAACCAGATTTCTCCTTACCCCGTGCACCATCACTGCTCTAGACGGAAGTCTGGGAGGGACGTTCACCCCAAACAAAAACTAGCATCTTAAATAAACACAAGGCCTGCCACACTTAGAGGACTATTTAATATTCTGGGACTGGTTGGGATTTTTTCCAATATTTTTTTGAAAGGCCACTGAAAATAAAAAAAATTAACAACAAAACATTTGCCCAACATGCTGGTAGTAATGGAATAGAATGAGATGTGAGTCCGAAAAGACAGTTTGCCTCCTCTTCCAGATGAAGCAGCGTACATCTTGAAGTGCCGACTTTAAAAATCTTTTGTCTCAAACAAAAAACCCGGCCGAATATAAAATGGTCACTCCCATACCAGCAAAACCGGACATTTGCGTGTTACTGCCAATGTTAAATTAACTTTTTTTTAAGTTACCTGCCAGTGCCTGTTACAAAATCTCTGCTAATCAATTTTTTGCACTGCATACGCATTGTATGACTAATAAATAAACCAATTACTTTAACACAAAAACTCATTCACAAAACTAGGGCATTATCACAGATATTTCAGATAGAAATATTGACCATAAAACCTTGTCAAAGCATTATGCCATACTTTACTTTGCAGACCTCATCTTTAGAGGAAAGACACGGCGGTTCAACAGAAAGACCTTAACACCATGTTGAGCAATGTACGGAGAGGAAGGGTGCTCAGGATATTGTACAAAAACTACAGGAAATAAAGAATTTGGTCAAAGGCGATACCATTAATATCAAATACCACCAAATATTAACAATGTCAGAACTGCGTTAATGACTTTCACCAGAATTGTGCAATTCTCTCCACCGATTCCTTCTCTCGCTAAACCACCTCCAAGAGACTTGAACATAAAGGTGGAATGAGATTGACTAAAAACATTGGCGACCCAGCTATGAATCTTGCAGATATCACCAGCATATTGACTTTCACAGTTTTAAGTATGCTTCTCAATAGGATCCTAATTACTCTATTACTGCCTTGGTAATACTCAGTACTTCGTTACTTCAGTACTTGTGTGCAAGGCCAAACTGTTATTTTTAGGTGGACTGGGAGCAGTCTTCCTGGAAACTGAAATGAGAATTTCCTGTAATCTGAGACCATATTTCCTGATGCACAATTTCATGCAGCTTCCCCAAATAATTACAACATCCTAGCTTTTATGAAAAACCTTGAAAAGAAATTTTTTTAAAATGTTTCAAAATTGTTGGGAATATTGGAAAACATAAAATGCAGAGTGCTCTTGAAAAGTGTTATCGTCCGTCACCAGCTACAATAAATATCAACACAGTGTTTAAGATCCTTTGGGGATCCATTTTTGAAACTTCTAGCTGTACGTCATAGCAATGTCTGAAGATGTAAAACCTGATTGTACCGGTCTTCAAAAAGCATTATGAACTGTGACTATTATTAGCGACTTTGACACGAGATTCAACTGTAATATTTCCTAAAGAGAAATTATCACCATAAAACACTATTCTCAATGACAGATAGCACATGCTACATGTGTGAAAACTTTTTCATTCTACAGTTTTTCAGACTATTCCTGAGAAAGTTCGCTTATGCTATATTCTCAAATAAAGTACCCTACATTTGAAACGGAACTTAGCTAATGTGCCTTTTTTAAATGCCAACCACATAATTCTAACAAGACCTAAAACATCCAAACCTAATAATGAAGTGAACTAGCACCAGAAGCCGCACTGAGAATTTCTTCAACAAATAATTGTTTCCTGAGCAAAAGCCGAAACAAATTTCTTTGCCCTTGTTATGCTTCATGGTGATCACTGTATGATTGGATTCTGGCGATGTGTATTGACGACTTGAAACGGCAATTATACCTTCTCAACAATGAATGACTTCGTGTTGAAAAACAAAAGAACAAAAACTTAACGTTAACATAATGCTGCATGCTACAAAACAAGGGAGATAACTGAAGGGGTGAGAGCAAAATGTAAATACAGGGAGATAACCTGGGTCCTGTGTTGTGGGCCTGATTCTACACAGACAACAGGAAAGTGCGAACTGGCATCTAACCGATCTGCAAATTGTAACCACCTGAACTTAAGCAACTAATTTTTATACAAATTTTATTCTGTCATTCAATCAATAACACCCTATTCCTGGGGATTAATTATAGGAGTTACAAATGGTCTTTAGATGCAGAGATAACTTATCGGCCTAAATTGAATTTTTAAGGTGAGAGTCAGCTATTTTGAAAGAAAACAGAAAATTATGGCAGACAGTGTCTGATATTGAGATTTGAAACCTCTGATTGACCAATGAAAATCAATTCATTTTAAAGTTATGATAGCATAAACTGAATGTTTTCTTTTGTACGTATAAACACTACATATTTAACAGGGCACAGATCAACAAAACGTCAGCATGCTTACTCTAAAAATCGAATTTGATTTTGTCTGTGTAGTGACCGCTCAACAACAGGCATCAGCTTAACAGATGAACATGTGGCCGATAGAGCAACATTGAGAAATGGTGATTAAACATGCGACTACCTGCAATGATGGGTGATAGAAATATACACATTTACAGTTACCTCCCCTAGCCCATATTCTATATGTACATTACCTTCAGACTAGGGAGATTGTATGCATCTTAAAGCCATGACTCAAGCAAAATGTACAGATATTTGGAGAGTATCTACAAATTCATTTAAATAAGCCTTCAGGAAAGTATAATATACAGATGCCAGGTCTGTGTACAGTGAACAAGAACATCTTTGTTCCTTGTATCATTTCGCTGTGTCATGAAGAGTACCAATAATGCACCACCTTACATGAGTATTCTCTAACTACTGGGATCTCACAGGGTGAATATACGTATAGATATCAGGATCTTGAAATGGGCTTAATACTCAAGAAATATTCTCATCGTCAACATAGTAAGCATCGATCCAAATTTATTATTCAAAATGCAAATATGGATTCTACCATAAGTCAAAGGAGTCCCATCAACAGGTACTACTTTCCTGGATACTAGTGCAACTACCTAACTGCTGAGGTTTATATCTCCAGGGCTTAGTTCTAACGATCTCAGAATTACGGCTGTTGTAAGTCTATGTTAAGTATTTGAAATATGTCCTAATACTAAGATCATTTTGTGAAATGATCTGGACAGAGGTTTCAGAAACAGAACTTCAGGTAAAGCCCACCAAGAAAGAACTTCTCCATCCTTTCATCCACCTGTGTGATTGTCTGGAATATGGGAGGGAGACAGTGTCTGTTGTTTTTTCTCGTGGACCAGCTCCTACTTCCTGTTTACTCCCGAATGGAAGTCTAGCCACATAAATCGGCATACTGATCAATCTATTTTTTCATTTCCTGAATCAATTACCTGAAGCTTCCAAGGCAGGCCTCAAAGTTGCGACTAAAACAGTAGCCAATGCAACCTAAATTTCAGTTTGTCTACTGTCTAAAATTCAGAGGTAGCCAAATGACCACCAAGAAAAATGTCTTGTGGCGACTAAATTCTATTGCTACACATATGTAGACACAAAAATAAATAACAGCTGATATTGGAAAACATGTCTGCTAATAATTGTACTCACAAATAATTCCTTCTAAAGTCGACAATGAACCAAAATACATACAAATTAATGTAATTAGTACTTTATTTTGGTTGACAATGCTCATTGAATAAGCGAGGATATACCTATGTAATCTAGTAACATAAATTGCATCATTGTTCAAGTCACAAGTAACAAAATTCAAGTACAGTTTCCATTGAGATACAATTTCAAGACTAGTGCTGTAACTTGTACATATTATAGTAGTTATTTGTTAAAGATAATTTCAAATGCTTTTGGCTACCTACAATATTGGCTTGACTTCTTGATTTACCACTGGCTACCTGGAAAAAAATACTTGTAGCCATATGGCTACTTGGTAAAAATTTAAACTTTGAGGCCCGCAAGGCAGTGGACACTAATAACTAGTCATCTTCAAGCACTGTTTTCATCTTAAAGTTCACTTTCAGACCAATTCTTACTCACACAAAATAATCCCTTGTACAATACAATCCTTAACTTTAAGGATTAAAAGATTGATTGTGAGAAACTCACACATACCTGTCACAAGTAAATTATTAAAGTGCTAGTGGAATGTACACGCAAGTAGCCATACATGTCATTTCAACCTCAAGAAAATTAATGTCCATCTGAGTTTGGGTCTTTCTTCAATTCTTTCAAGTACTTTGTAATTCTCCACTGAGTATTTAATGAGTACTTTTCAAAATCAGCATATTAACCAGTTCCCTTAACAAAAGACAAAGTTGCTGCTACCGTTTGTGCCAGCAGATATTTCTTCACATACACTGAAATACAATCCCAAACGTTTTGGGAAGATTTCAGTCCATAACATATCTAATATCATTGTCTTAGCATCAGCATATGTATTTGTGCACTGATTACCATGTATGGCAGACTTGGATGCAATTAGTTTGACAAGCGTAACCATGACAACATCAAAATAAAGCAAAATGATTGGTTGGCATAAGACATGGTCAACAACAAAGGCGAGGCGTCAGCTGCCAATTGAAACATTATCAATAGAATCGAAACAACTCCTGTCTGTTGTTTCACATGGTCCCAACTACAACAACATTAACAAGATGGCCGATTGGAACGATCATACCGACTTCAATCAGAAAATACAAAGGTCTTAGTGTGACCTAAAGACAGAACAAAATATTTCAGCTCCTGGCTGCAAGGACAGATTCAAATCCTCATTTGGCAGAAACATGCAGTCTGTGCCTTTCACCTCTAGCTCGAAGCCTGCGTCTAATAACATTTCAGATGGGCTAGTGTACATTGGCAAAACAATTTACATGTTTAAAAGTAACCAGTACTGAAGCTCAAAAATAAGTCTGGGCTAACAGTCAGAAATATTTGGGGCACAGGCTGAACATGGAGTCCTTAGATCCAACCAATTCCAAACTAGAAATGTGAGCAATTATTTGAAAGATCTGTAATATAGCACACCTGGAACAAATTCTTAAAAATATGTCACTACTACAGAACTGTATATAACATCAGGTATAAAAGCTACGTCGGACCTGGCGAGTGAGATTCTCACGACAGCTACAACTTCCTCTGCTACATGACCCACATCAACTCCACAAACTGAATTCATTGTATCACAGTTGCCCAATTCCAGGAGAAAGGCATTTTACCGAGAACACTTTCTATTTTATGATCATGCGGTGTGCCTAGAAGACACGGATAGGTCGTCGCAAGACACAGAGGCAGGTCCTACATTTTGAATACTCCATGACATATCCCAGCATGCACTTGGTTAAGAGTCGCATAATCAACGACAGCAAGCATCTTCAATCCATAAGAACATATCATAACATGACGTAACATATCCCAGCATGCACTTGGTTAGGTCACATGACCACAACAGCGACCATTTTGAATCCAGAACGAGGCTATCATAATTCCTTAAGTCGAGCCAGCAACTTTTCAGCCTCGGATTCCTCTTGTGTTTTCTCGCGTCTCCTATGCTGTCTTCTCTCCTTTCTTTCGGGTTCCTGTGACTTCTCGGGTGGTTGATTCGGAATCTCATTAGCGTGGGATTCGTCAAAGTTTATTTCTTTTACCGTGGAACTGTCTAACTGTAGGAGGTTCTGTCGAGACCGCGACCGTGCGAGTTGAGCTCTCCTTTCCGCTGTTGATGAAAAAGGAAAAGAATTAGCATAACCAAAATTTGGTGGGCAAAAGCAGGATTTGAGGAGAATCCAAACAAATCCCAAAGAAGACATAACAAGCAAAATAAGTCATTTTACAAACTAAACCTCTAATCACAACAGCTTAATACCTATAGAAGTACTGGACAAATATGCCAGCAATGAACTCATCCCTACTCCATGATGTGCGTACAGTAATAAGTGTGGTGTGTTTTAGGCTGCCTTGAATAGTATTCCAGTAACATAAGGCTCCTATTATACTGTGCCTGTTTCTGAAGCACATATCCATTTGTGCACACAAAGAAAACAGCTGAAATGTTCAGGTACATGCATGTTTGCTTGTTTGTTGTTTAACGCCACACTTGCTGAGGTGCCATTTTAGCCTGCACTCGTGTTTATCTGTGCAACCATAGCCCCCCCACAAAAAGAATGAACATAATCCAAAAATGGGTCACATGTTAATATGTTGGTGATCATGAAATGAATGTTTTAATTGTTTATAGGTAAGAATAATTCCCTGCATACTATGATATGTATGATTTGTTTGTCTGTTGTTTAACGCTGCACTCAGCAATATTCCATCTATATGACAGCACTCTGTAAACAATAGAGTCTGGACCAGACAATCCAGTGATTAATATCATGAGCATCGATCAACGCAATTGGGATCGATGACATGCATCAACCAAGTCAGTGAGCCTGACCACCCGATCCCGTTAGTCGCCTCTTACGACAAGCATAGTCACCTTTTACAGCAAACATGAGTTGCTGAAGACCTATTCCACCCCGGATCTTCACACGTACATGACTAAAAATAAAGTAAAGAGTAAGCGGTGTTCTCTTTTGCTCTCTCAGTAGTGTTTTTGAAGTTTGTTTGTTGTTTAACACCGCAGTCAGCAATATTCAAGCTATTTGACGGCAGTCTGTAAATTATCCAGTCTGGACCGGACAAATCAATGATTGACATCATGAACATCGATCCACGCAATTGGGATACAAAGACATGCAAGAACCAAGTCAGCAAGCTTGACCATCCGATCCGGTTAGCCACCTCTTACGGCAAGCCTGGGTTGCTGAAGACCTATTCTACCCCCGATCTTCACGGGTCAGTGTTATTGAAGAGCACATTAAAATCAACCTATTTATAAAGCAAGTGTAAAATTCACCTTGCTGCATGTCAGTATTATAATTATATTACAAAACTTGTAAACCGCGCAAACAAGCAACTGACAAAGCACTGAAAAAGTGTAACATCATTTGAAGCTTTAAAATCAAGTCCTACAAAATATCCTCTTGCAGAGAAGCAATGAAAGCAGATCACAATAGCAACAGGTTTCTAACAATCTGAAATGACCTACAGAAGAAAAGAAGTCATGCAAATGTCACAATCAACTGTACATGCAAGAACTGGAAGAAACAGCTTTAATCAACAACAGCCAAACAGTAGACAACCCAAACTCAAGGGGTTCTAAAGGCACTGGGCCAAGTGTCAGTTGGGTTCCAGCAAGGAAACAAACCAAGCATCTGTCTGAGTCTTCCCAAGGTCAGGGTCCAGGTTGTATCTGATTCTACAAAGAGGTCAGAGACCAAAATATTGGTTCAACAAAAGGATGACAAAGTCCAAGTCATATCTCATTCTAAACAGCAGGTCAAATGCCAAGATATATCTGTTCTATGGAGGTCAAACACCAAGGATTTTCAAAGCCTTAAACACAAATGGTTGTTTGAAGGAGTTTCAAATCCAAAGATAAAACTGGTTCTACAAAGGAAAGCCAAAACCCAAGGAATATCTAGTTTCAAAAAGGACAAACACTAAACTATCTTCTGTTCTACCCTGATATAGACAAGGGGTAAAATAAAATTGAAAATCAACATGAAATGCCCCTGCAAATACTTACCTTGGCCCTGTTCCACAAAGCAATGTTAGCACTAAGGTGATCATGACTCCCATGTACAGAGTCTTACGACAGCCATAGCTCTAAGTGAGTGAGTGAGGGAGTTTGGTTTTACGCCGCTTTTAGCAATATTCCAGCAATATCACGGCGGGGGACACCAGAATTTGTCTTCACACATTGTACCCATGTCGGGAATCAAACCCGAGTCTTCAGCGTGACGAGAGAACGCTTTAACCACTAGGCTACCCGACCGCCCCCATAGCTCTAAGATCACTTTGTTGAAAGGGGCCCTGAGGGGGCATTGCAACTATTTCATGTCCCAAGCAAACTTTATCTCTTGTCATTAATATCTGTCGATGTGGATGTTTTCCTGAATACACTGGCCATAAGATATGCAGGTTTTATAGTGATTAAGAAACATTCTGAAGGATTCATTCTTATTGTTAATATTTATTTTTCTAATGAAGTGACAAACTAACAAAACAAATCACACTTTATTTCATGTTTATATTATCTTATTGAACAATACACCTGCAGAATTGACCAAGCAACCATATATGCCAAGGGGAGAGATCCTACAAGGAGATATCAAAAGGAAGAATCCAGCCACCATAATTATCTGCCCTTTACAAGGTCAAGGTCAAGGTCAAACCAGACAAAAGGTCAAAACCTGTCTAAGTCTTAGTCCTGCCAATCCTGAGCAGCAGAAGAGAAGGAAGTGAAAAATTCAATCTAAATTGTTCTTGTTACAAATTCTACATTTGCAAAAATAATTTGTTCTTCTAAGATCAGCATCGAGTAAAAAATTATGCTCAGTGCCACAAGTAGCTGTGGCCATACAAAACATGTAAGAATCATGCCATTAGACATTAAAGTGTTATCAATACAGGTCCATGCATTTCCTGTTAGAGAGTACAGCAGACTAGTTATTTTACAAGTATATAGCAATGGTAGATATTTCCAATAAAACCAAGTATTATTATAATCTGTGTTAACAATACATGATCATTAAAATCCTTGGACTTTCATGATTGGTTATCAAAGGGGTAAAAGCTCCAATCAAATGATGGTTCGCATCCTGTATAAAAGCCTGTTGAAAGCCTATACTTTAGCTAATCAAAGACGAATCCTGCGAAACACAACAGTAAAAGACTACTTTTACCATTCTATACTTATTGATTTTAAACCAGTTTACCTGGAGGAAAAGTAGTTAAAGACATAGCAATGGGAACATCCATTCATATAATGTGACTTCCCTCTGTCACCATGGTAACATTATTTTAGCAACAGCCCTGAAATGTCAGTTCAAAGGGATGACAACTGCCATAAAATAGTTCAGTTAAATAGACAAAGGTTTGGAGGTCAAGGTCAAATTTGTGGTCAAGGGGTCAAGGTCAAATTTGTGGTCAAGGGGTCAAGGTCAAATTTGTGGTCAAGGGTCAAGGTCAAATCTGTGGCAGATTGTCATCCCTGAAGGCACGAAATGAGTACAACACATACTAAAGGCTCTCTCCAAACAACACACACTGTGTACTACAACCGAACACTTGGGAAACGAAAGGAATTGCCCTATACTGCTTTAACAAAATATGACCCTCAATCACGATCTGTTAGTTGTGAAAGATAATCCTGAGCGGATCCTGGGTGAATCAGGATATCCAATAGGGGTATGTTCCCATTACTGTGATGACTGGATTGAGATCAAATGTTGAGATCGTGATTGAGGCGCCGTAAAATAAAAAAAAGAATTTTGCGTGTTCTTCGGAGAGGCCAAGCTAATTCCTATTGATGATGACGGCAACATAAAATAACGATGAGAGAACTGAAAGTAAAACAGCAGATGACGATCACATGCAAAGCTCGATGAGTCAATAGTCACGTGGAGGTTACAATCCAAGGATCTAATTGGTCATGCACGAGTCACATGACTGCACCACATGATCATGCTAAGATATGATATGTCACCTCAGCCTTAATAGGACTATCTTTCCATACCCGCGACCTTGACAGGTTCGATATACGGTCTGTGGGAGAAGACATTCAAGACGAACATAAACACACATTCAGCAGAATATATGGGGGTATGAAGGATGGGAGAATAAGAGAGTGAGTGAGTTTGGTTTAACGCCGCTTTTAACAGTATTCCAGTTATATCACGGCGTGTCAGCTTAATGTGAGAGAAAAGCCAGAAGTGATGCAGCCCACGAGCACGGGTATGGTGCTGACAAATGTAGAAACATTATCAGGGCGAACCGGGATTTGAACCCACAATCGTAGTTTCTGGCATGTCCAAGGGACGCAAGTCTGCACAGCGAATCGCGGCGCCTTAGACGACTGGGCCACCCGTGCCCCCGGAAGAATTGGATAGGGAGCAATTACAATCTTACCGTGGGCTATACAGGAGTTCTGCGAAGTCAAGGGGGTTGGGAGTCAAGGGGGTGGGGGGTCTGGGGGGTCAGGGGAATCATTGGAGAGTCCAAAGGCGTTCAAGGGAATCCATATGGTGGGGGGGTAGAGGGGTTACCAGGAATCTATGAGATGTCCTGCTGGGTCAGAAGAGTCCATGGGAAATCCATGGGGGACCAACAGGAGTTTGTGAAGCAAAAAATCCCCATGACTTTCGATTTTTTTAAAACCAATCAGATAGGGTTGTCAACATAAATGTAGACTTGTTCAAGTTTTGTTAATCATATTTTTAAATCATAAGTTCTTTGGGCAGAACTTCCATGGCATGGGCATGAACACATAAGGGCTGGTGATGTATAATTATCTCATGCAGGCGCCAGAGCAGCAGCAAAAGCACCAAGCATGGAAAGAATAAATTTTTCCTGTATAAAGAAAAACAGCTTTGTACCCCATAATTGAACCACCGCCCAAACAAATGAACATACTCTCTCACAAGCAGACAGTTTACTTTTCTCCCATAGAAATATGTTGAATGGAAAATTGATTATTTCTATTTTCATCGAAAATACATTCAGTAGGAATTATATGTTTCTTGTCACAGGGTCAGTATGATAACTGAGTGGAGGGCCCAGTGAGGGAACGTGAGGGAATGTGGTCTATCACCTCCGTAAGCAATATTCGGGCAAGTGCTGGCAAAAAGGATCGAAAATGGGAAGAAATATTAACAATTTTTTCGACAAGAAATTGTTGTTATCGTTAATAACTTACATAAACTATTGTGATGAAAAAAAAGTTTGGACTTACCGAAACAGACATGTCAATTGTCGAAAATGAAAAGCAACTGTTTTGTAATTTCTCAAAGGTCCTCAAAGTAATCCATACATAAATGTGTCACTGGCTCACCAGTGGTGTGAAATATGTTGATTTCTTTCAGGATTTTACTGCATATTTGCTTAAAGTTACTTCTCCGATATTTATCGACAAATGATCAATATATAGTTAATGATCATCAAGCCCTAATTCAGAGGTCGGAAAATATTTCGTAATGTTGCACTCAGCCATATTCCAGCTATATGATTGCAGTCTGTAAATAATTGAGTCTGGACCAGACAACCCAATGACTGACATCCATCCACTCAATTGGAACACAAATACATGCAATCAACCAAGTCACCTGACCATCCAATCCACTTAGCTGTCTCTTACGACAAGCATAGCAGTATCAGACAGGTCAGACATTGTGACCACCCAATCTCCAGTTTAGTCTGCTCCTTGGGCCTACATTGGGTGCTGACTCTGAACATCTATGGGGTTCGTCATGGTTTGTGCTAAGATCTCATAATATGTTCATCATGACCTTATGAATATTCAATAGGCTGTACAGGGTATATTTATGAACACCTGGGCCCACTTGCACAAAGCGATCTTAGCACTACAACTATTGTAAGCCTATGTTAAAGTATGGGAGTTACGATCATCTTAGCGCTAAGATCGCTTTGTGCAAGTGGGCCCTGGTGTTAGTAGGGTGTCAAGAAGTGAGACTGCTGGAGATGAGGGGTTTGTCATGGTTGATGCTGAAGATCTTATAACGTATTCCTCATTGTCTTTGAGAATTCAACAGACCCTAAAGGGTGTAATTCTGAACACCTGGTGTTAGTAGGGTGTCAGGGGTGAGACAGCTGGAGGGTAGGATGGATATGTGGGAGGGGCTACCTAAGGGTGGGTGTGGCTATTGAGGGTGGGTGTGGCTATTGACAGTGGGTGTGGCTACTGAGGGTGGGTGAGGTGGGGTGGGGTGAAATGATCATGTACTTCATATCAAGGCAATATCTGACAACACTCATCAGATGCAGTGTCCATATACAGATACTGAACATTCAGAGTAATAATGTAGACATGTAGCATAGATTGCTTAGTATTAGTTCATTCATAACAACTGCATACACTATGGCAGTCTGCAAACTGTAAAAGTGTTATATTAGGCTGCATAATATATTCTACACATAGGTGATAGTGACTGGGGGTTTCCCAGCAATATTGTCAGCAATATTACAGCCGCATTTGTGGCAATATTCCCACCATTTGTTTTGTCTGTTTGCTCGTTGTTTATCGCCGTACTCAGCAATATTCAAGCTATATGACGGCAGTCTGTAAATTATCAAGTCTGGACCAGACAATCCAGTGATTGACATCATGACATTGCTCCACACAATTGGGATATGATGTCATGCATCAACTAAGTCAGTGAACCTGACCTCCCGATCCTGTTAGGTCACATGACAAGCATGATCGCCTAAGACCTATTCTATCCCAGATCTTCACGGGTGAATATTCACACTAGTCTGTACAGAACCAGTACATGGCCCAGACATGGCAGACAAACTGTGTGATAGTATCAACAACGGTCCATACTGCCAGGGTAAGATGACACACAATCAGCCAGATCACAACCGAGAGTTACAACCCCTTGAGGTCACCCATCAAGGTCCTACCACTACTCAGAGGCCATTGAGTGAGTGAGTTGGGTTTAACGCCGCTTTTAACAGTATTCGAGTTAGATCACGGCGTGTCAGCTTAATGTGGGAGGAGAGCCCGAAGTGATGCAGGTCTCGGACGTTTACCACTTCAGTGAAACCCACGAGCACGGTTATGGTGCTGACAAACCTAGAAACATAACCGGTTCGAACCGGGATTCGAACCCACAATCATAGGTTTCTGGCATGCCCAAGGGACGCAACTCTGCACAGCAAACCGCAGCACCTTAGATGACTGGGCCACCCGTGCCCCCCAGGGGCCATTGTGTTTGCTTGTTCAACGACACACTTAGTAGTATTCAAGCCATATGATGGTGGCCTATAAATAATAAAGTCTGGACCAGACAATCTAGTGATTGATACTGTGAGCAACGCTCCATGTCATCAGAGTACGATGACACACAAGCAACCAAGTCCCCGAGCCTGACCACCTGATTCACATGGTCACTCTTACAACAGCCTTGGCTGCTGGGGACCAATTCTAACCCTGACTCCCCTGGTAGAGCCAATGGGATGGCCAGGTTTACATGATATGGCTCTTAGAAATGTCATACACAGGTCCTGTTCTCTCCCAAAATCCCACCGGGAACAAGGATTAGTCATGTGGCATCAGATAGGTAGATTAATGTCTATAAAAAAATCTACCCTTTCAGAAAAAGAGGGGACCTTGCAAAAAAAATCATCCCTGTACACCCTCATGTCTTCACCAGGGAGTAATTTCTTGAATACTTAACCTTTTTATAACACAAATACGTTTTGAGATGGGCTCGTACAATTTCAGTTTGCTCATAAAATAAGTATATTATCAAATTGCACCTGAAGTTGAGAGAAAGATTATTTACATAAACATACATCACCAATGTTCAAAATTAAGGCGGTTCTCGGGTCCTTGCAGTTTGCTACCACTGTACTTGATTTAGGGGACCTCTAAATCTTTAACTTTTAACATCGTTAAGCATCTTGTGGTATACACTACAATGTTTTATATCCATATTAATGAAGTATTAACGACTAACTACGTACCCCCTGCTGCCCGTGGTGTCCGGCGCTTGCCGTCTCGTTTCTCCCGGTTGACGCTGAAAGCCGACCCTGTCTTGAGTGCCTCCAGCAGGTTGTCCATCACGCCCTCTTGGTCATCATCTGAAGCAACAATACAACCCAACTGTACAACAACGTTCTCAAGCCTCTGAATCATCATCACTCCCACCTTTATGTTACCCCTTTGATATAAGGGATGATCTTTCAACTGAAATAAAATCAACAAGAACAAATCCAGTTCTGATATCTGCCGAAATATGGGCAATTGCTATTTGCCTAACTTTGTTCATATTACTGCTCTTGTTATATATAGCTGTCTACCCACCCTAATACGTACTGTTTGTGGTCATGTTACTTCTCATAGTCAGTTTTGCATTGTAATTAACTGTTGTCATAACAGGCATCACATTCACAACCATGATCATATTACTGATCATGACCAGTGTCACAATCCACTAACTTTGGTCATAGTACTGATCACATCCAGTCGCCTAACTGTGGTCATAGTACTGATCACATCCAGTCTGCCTAACTGTGGTCATAGTACTGATCACACCAAGTCTGCCTAACTCTGGTCTATCCCGTTTAGCCCTGTACCCACCTGTGGTCATGTCCAGTATCGCAATCTGCCTGGCTTTCTTCTCCTTCTTCTCCCTCTCTGCCTTCTCCTTGGCTTCCTTGGCGCGTCGTATCTTCTCCTGCGTCTCACGCATTTTGGCATTCTCTTTCATAGCTTTCTATAAAACCAAAACACAAACACATTAAAAAAAAAACATACCTCATATATTACATGTAATATATTATCAGCCTCGCACAAGTAATTTCCCCTTATTACAAAACCTACCCCACAGAGGTGAAATGAGGTCCCACATTGTGTCCAAGAATATTGCCCTTATATAGAGACATGCCTGTTTTATAGTACTAGCCCACTGAGATACCATGCTACAAATTAAGAAGGATACCCCACTCAGACACAGTTTACGGACTCTAAGCCGACCAGTCCCCTTAATGACTAGCAACGGACAGGGTAACAACAAGTACCATCTTTTAACATATTTTCGTATGATGAGGCCGGGGAACGAACCATCGACCTTATACTCTCTCCAGGCAGATGCTTCTACTCAGCCAGGGAGTCGACCTCCACAAAAAGAAATGACAAGTCCCAATATTCGAACAACTCTTATATATGCAAGTCCACTTGCAAGTCCACTTGCAATTCCAAAATCCAAAGCCAACTTACATTAAACGATTCTTTGAAATTTTTTAGGTCTCCAAAGAAATCTTCAACTGAGTATTTCTTGGTGTCGAAGCACAGATACTTCGCCAGCTCCTTAAACAGGGAGTCCAGCTTCTTATACATCGTACTGAGGACGTCGTGCTGCTCGCTGGCAACTTTAATGAACACGTGATGGAGTCAAGGAAAACAGACATCAGTCATGTACAAACATATATTTCCTCTGTGAAAGAAACATGAAAGACTTCAAGATTTCAGAAAACAATAAATCCTTGTACCATGTTCATCGATATCAATGCAGGCTCTTCAGTTTCCCTTCCATTAAAATATCTATTCTTCATACACCTTTTTTATCCTTCCTTTTATTTATGCACCCAAATAATCTCATTGTACTGCAAAACAGTTCATCCAGTCATTTGTATAAATATATATACTGTAAACATGAATATTTTAGGGGATATTTTGATCCCCAAAAAATTATGATTCCTAACTCTTTTATTGCGCACGCACGAACACACACAACACACACACCACACCACACGCCACGCCACGCCACACGCCACGCCACACACCACACCACACACCACACCACACCACACCACACCACACCACACCACACCACACCACACCACACCACACCACACCACACCACACCACACCACACCACACCACACCACACCACACCACACCACACCACACCACACCACACCACACCACACACACAAGAAATTAAAGTAGTGTTTAAATATAACCTTGCTGAATGAAATGGTCAAACTTCAAGTCAGTTAATACTTTCACTCGAGACCAGACAGTTTTGTGAAAAATATAACAAATAGTGAAAACATTTGTCACAGGGAATACATTTTGTACCCACAACAATAATCTTGAAGCTTTCATAGACCTGGAAACAAACATCCATGGCCGAACTGATTCAGCGGAAATCAACTGTTGCAACAAAAGGATATCTCCATGACCTCAGCGAACCTGTCTCCCTCAGAACTCGTCTTGCTGATGTTCTTGATGTCGATGTCCAGCTGCTTCACCTGCTTCTCCATCTGCTTCAGGTTCTTCTGCAGCGTCTCGTCAGACACTGAAACAAACAGTCATGGCCCATTGAGTTATACCAGTCTGTGACTTTAGCCCTAGGTTGGACACTGAAACAAATATTCATGGCCCATTGAGTCATACCAGTCTGTGACTTTAGCCCCGAGTCAGACACTGAAACAAACAGTCATGGCCCATTGAGTCATACCAGTCTGTGACTTTAGCCCCGAGTCGGACACTGAAACAAACATTCAGTGGCCCATTGATTCATACCAGTCTGTGACTTTAGCCCGAGTCGGACACTGAAACAAACAGTCATGGCCCATTGAGTCACACCAGTCTGTGACTTTAGCCCCGAGTCGGACACTGAAACAAACAGTCAATGGCCCATTGAGTCATACCAGTCTGTGACTTTAGCCCCGAGTCAGACACTGAAACAAACAGTCATGGCCCATTGAGTCACACCAGTCTGTGACTTAAGCCCCGAGTCGGACACTGAAACAAACATTCAATGGCCCATTGAGTCACACCAGTCTGTGACTTTAGCCCCGAGTCGGACACTGAAACAAACAGTTATTGGCTTCAAACATTGCACCAACGTGGGGAATCAAACTTCGGCGTGACGAGCCAATGTTTAAACCACTTGGCTACCCAACCGTCCGGCTCAGCGAGTCAGTTAGCAAATTACCGTATTCAATGTAATAAGCGCCCCCAGCGATATTTGCTAATATATTGGCAAGTGAACAATCCCAATTAGCACCCTTTCCGATTGATCAGTGTACACAAGACTTTAATTTATTCATGTATAATACACACTCGTGTGTTATATGCACCCTTAATTATAGGCAATTAAATTCTGGAAGAGTATATCTAATAAGGGTGACTATTGAGGCATTTTTGACTATTGCGATACTATTGCGATAGTTAAAACAACTATTGCGATACTATTGCGATAGTGGCCCTACTATTGCAATACTATTGCGATAGTTTTCACTTGCAATTATAGCAGGCTTGAGCAGCATATATTTCAGCATTTTGACTGACACCATCAAAATAATTATAACTTTCTGATACTATTTGTAAAGAAAACAAGAAATGAAAAGAAAACAAGTTCAAATTGACCTCTCAAAAATATTTTAATACAAAATTTCACTTCATGTAACTGGTAAAGTCTTAGTTTACTGCAGTGTTTCAGCACCAATGTGAATGAATGTGATAGAATGACTAGTATTTGATCCCCCCTTTTTCACATGGACGAATATCTGGGTGCCGTCTTGTCAAGTGGTCGGTCAGATAAGTAGTATTTCCTGAATACTTTAGAATTATCCGACAGATTCTACAACTTACTTTGTGTTTGTCTGTCTCATTTTGCGTTTTGACAAAGCCAAAATGGTCCCATACCCACGATTTGCCTGCCTTATTGGTGACAATTTCAAACTGACATGTGGCGTCCGCCATCTTGTCAATGTTGCCTAGCGACGAGTAGCTAAGGGACGTAACTCTAAATCAAGCAGACAAAGTAGTGCAATCCAAACGAAAGCATGAGAGAGGTTAGATGATCATAGGAGTTGTTTCTATGTTTTTTAAGAAAGTAAATGTACCAAACAAATTAACTATCGAAACTATCAATAGTTAGACAAACTATCGCCAATAGTATCGATTGTTACAAGTTGCAATCGATAGTATACTATCGTGAGACAAGCAATTGCAATCAATCGATAGTTCCATGTATCGTTACACCACTAATATCTAAAGTAAATTATGAGAGCGCCGTGGGCGCTTATTATGTAAAATACGGTATTTTATTAATTCACATGGGACAGTTCAGCCATCACACTTTCGGACCCTGTGTACCTACCTCGAGCTGCCTTCTCCGTGTGTGTCAGCTCCTCCATGAAGCCAACTAGGTCTGGGTGTTTCTCTTCAACTGTCTGTGCCAGGAAGTGCATCAGAGTTGTCTTCCCATCCTGAGACTTGGTGTTGTCCAACTGGGAGAACATGTGACAGTCAGTGGCATATACATAGTACATGCAAGTCTTAAGCAAGTAACACGACCCACTGTTTCATTTTCAGGATTCCATCTATTCTTCATCAAAATCTCCACTTGGAGAGAGGTAAAATAGTGAGTGAGTGAGTGAGTGAGTTTAAGGCTACTTTAAAGTGTGTCAACTTGATGTTGAGCACAGGTATACCACTGATATGATCATGGATTTGAGGATTGTATCTCTGCACAGCGAATTGCAGCATCTAAGACAACTGGGCGACTGTGCCCCAAACAAAAAAATAATTATTTTCTTAATACAGGGAATGTGAAGTTTATTTATTCCACAGTCAGCAATATTCCAGCTGCACCAGCAATCCATACTGTCATGGGACATTCTAGTCCCCAATTCTCATTGTAGCTTACTCTTGATACAAGCATGGAATCCTCTGCTCCAGTGTGCCATTGTACGAAACATCCTTAGCACTATGATGATCATAAGCCTACAGTTCTGTCCTGGGTCACCTACAGCTCTGTCCTGGGTCACCTACAGCTCTGTCCTGGGAACCCTACAGCTCTGTCCTGGGAACCCTACAGCTCTGTCCTGGCAGACCTACAGCTCTGTCCTGGGAACCCTACAGCTCTGTCCTGGGAACCCTACAGCTCTGTCCTGGCAGACCTACAGCTCTGTCCTGGGAACCCTACAGCTCTGTCCTGGGACCCCTACAGCTCTGTCCTGGGACCCCTACAGCTCTGTCCTGGGAACCGTACAGCTCTGTCCTGGGACCCCTACAGCTCTGTCCTGGGACCCCTACAGTTCTGTCCTGGGACACCTACAGTTGTCCTGGGACCACTACAGCTCTATCCTACAGAACCTTAATGCAATCAAGCCACATACCTTGCTGAGGAAGCTGATCTCAAAGCCAAGTGATTGTGCATTCCGAGAGCCGGCGTTGAGGTAGTTGCCGATGACGAGGATGAATTCCAGCAGACGGGCGAACTTCTTACTGTTCTTCACTTCTTCACACGCCTCTGTTGCTGCCACCAAGTCCTGGAAACAAGGTTGGAGTTTTAGACAACTTACGCCATTTGCAGCAACAGCTTCGTACACGTACCATGAAGAAAACATAGACTTAAGTTCTAACTTAACAAAGAACTTTTTCATTAACAAAGTTGGGCAAAGCTGTAATAAATGACAGCAAGAAAGAATAAAGACAAATTTGTTCTTAGGAAATGAATTATGGTAAAGTTTTGCTAACCGGTGCCAGAGTTTTACAACTTTTTTACTTTTTTACGAAATGCTTTGATACCCTCCGCTTTGCTAATGAGCAACCAGCAGAACGTATAATTTTTCAACAATATTTAGCATAAAGTTAAAAATTTAAGTAATAGTCAATATTGTGAGTACCGAAAGGCCAAATATGTTAGAAGCCAACTCACAGGCTTAATGTCAGCCACAATCTCAGAAAATCTCATCTTGAACAGCATGGAGGTGAGACGAGGAGTGATTCGCTTGATAGTCGACATCTGTGAAGGAGAGAGATTGGTGAATGATTTTTGTTTGTTCAAAGTTTAATGAACACTCAGCAGTATTTCAGCTCAGTGGCAGCGGTTTGTCAATAAAGTGGTGTCCAGTGACTGGCATTAGCAGTTTCCCACAACACTGGGGTATAATGACACACAATAACACAAGTCATCAAACCACCTGATCCACATAGTCACCTCTTACAACAAGCATAGGTTGCTGGGCACCTGCTACAACCTGGGATTTCCTTGGGTTGTGACGCAGCAGCTTGGAAATTTTAGTATAATTTGTATATTTATATACTTATCCTATCTCACACAATGCATATGTATTTATATACTTATCCTATCTCACACAATGCATATGTATTTATATACTTATCCTATCTCACACTGTGCATATGTATTTATATACTTATCCTATCTCAAACTATGCAGATCTACCTTTTACTTTGATCCTACGTGGAAACATACTTGAACCATGTTTCCAGCATGAAAATCAAAAACATTCACCAGAACACACCCCAGCATCTCTAAAGTTCCAACCAACAACTGGGTCTATTACGTGCTCTCATGCACGATAATCTTCCAAGCTGTGACCAATGCATCTTTAAACCAACTCATTCTCTTTCTTAGAGTGTTCGGGTGAATGTTTTTGTTTTAGAAACTTGGTTCAAGCATGTTTCCACATAGGATCGAAGAAAAAATACATATGCATAGTGTGAGATAGGATAAGTTAAAAAATTTGCAAAGTATAATCTGGTCCTGGATGCAGCAACATTCCCAGCTGACGTGTACTGTCAAAGGGTGGTCACCATCAGGGATTAACTATCGAACTATCGACTCATCACAATTGTCCACGACCCTAAGCATCAATGACACCTGACTGTTACCACTGATGTTGTGCTCATAAATAAAATGTCAAAATGGTATCAATAACTTTTCCATTTGTTTGTCTCCAAAATACACTTTGTAAGCACAAGCATGTTCCTGATTAACAAATCATGGACACTGCAAACTGAAGGAAGTGTTTCCAGATTGCCACTATCAGGACTAACAGTAGTTTGACAACAGTGAAACATGCATCATGCAGAGGGGAGTGAACTGCTTCCTACCTCCACCGCGAACTGTTCGGGTTCTGCGAGATCGTTATACTGGTCCTTCATACTGGCGATCTGGTTCATCTGCTCCGGCGTAGGCATGTACTTCAGCAGTTGTTCCAACATGGCTTCCGACAAGTTCTCATCATCAATGGCCAGGATCCGCCGCTTTATTTCCTTATATGGCACCTTGATCGACCCCAGGAGGATAGCTGTTGCAGACAGAACAATGTTTAGGTATGTACCTAGTCTTGGAGGTGGGGCTAGACTTGTACTTTTAACGCTGTCCATCACCTGGTCCTCTTGTCAAGTGTAAATTATTTTGTTGTTCTCAATTTCTAATAAGGATAAGAACTGAGAAAGTTTGATCATAAAGTAAGTGTTGTCAGAAAAATTAGACTTTGGAAATAATCAAGTCTTGACCAGGCAAACCAAAGACTGAAAGCCAAGTCACTGCACTGACGAGCGAATCTCTTCAGTTGGCACTTGCATCAAATACGGGATACTGGGGACCTATTCTTACCCATGGGGGATCATACAGTAAATGCTATCATGTGTGACTTCCAAAGATTACTAAGTAAGTGCTATTAAGTGCAGCTTACACAGATTCTGTCCTGCTTTAGGATCCAGCACACGCAATTCTTTCGACTTCTTCTTTGGTTTGATGTCCACATTTTCACTTGTCTCTTTCTTCGCTGCAAGAAAGAGAAACATGAAATACTCCCCACCAATATGACATGTCTGGTTGTGCAGAATGGCAAGAAATATTGTATGGTTTTCAACATCTGCTCTGGAGCACTACCGCCATTTTCAGTCAAAGTCATTGCTATGGAAACTCGAAAATAAATTCGTCAAAAATCCCAAACTATCAAAAGGCATTAGTTCAACACTTGACCTATGTATGTGCCAAGTTTGGTTAAGATATCTCTCCTGGTTTTTGAGTTCTGCTCGGGAAATGAAACATGACAGACAGACGGACAGCACCCATTCCTATATCCCCTTTCCACTTTGTGGTAGGGGATACTAATATTCTAAATGCAGAAAGAAGAGGATATTAACTGAAGACAAACAAGTGTTATAATTGACAACTGATAAGGTGAGACCTTTTAGGTCAACTGACGAATGGATGACTTGTGGCTGACTTATAGGTAAGTCGGTTTCAGTAATGTTAGAGAGACCGGCATATTCACCTGGTGCTTTCACAGCAAAGCATTCTTCAAGATCCTTGAACAAAATGTCACTTTCAAATGCTTCTTCCGATATCTTCACCCACAGAGAGTCTTTGTCCAACACACGTGCATTCACCTTAGCAAGATAACATACAAAGTGTAATTCTCTGCACACCTTAAAGTTATTTTGTGCCACAACTATGTCTATGTTAGTGTATGGAGTTGTAATATCTGTAGCGCCAACATGGTTTGCCCTGCTTTTAACAATAGTCCAGCAATATTGTACCCATGTGGGGAATCGAATGTGAATGTACTCTGTTCACCCATCAATGAATGGGTACCCGGTAGGAAGAGATGGTAATGTGTCATTTAACATTCTAGCACCTCACAGGCATCTTGAAATGATCCATTGAGTAGGGTAAAAATGTTAGCGCTTGCAGCATGCAGCTTGTCTATGGAGTCTAATGCACAACAAGTACACATATTTTTATTATTTATGGCTACTATAATCATCATAATGCTAAGATCACTTCTTGGAACAGGTCCGAAGTTATGCAGTGTTCGCACTGATTCTCCTAAGTCTGTTAATGTAACATGCACTGGTTACGTGGATCTTTTAACCTTGGAAACCCCTAACAAGTACCGTATTCGACGTAATAAGCGCCCAGGGCACTCTCAAAATTAGAAATAAGGGGCTCTTATTAGAATATTATTTTGGTAAATGGTGAACGTAAATTTTGTGGTCTATGCTGACACCCTGAAATGTTTATATACGACAGATATATTTTTCCAGAATTTAATTGCCCATAATTAAGGGTACATATAACACACGAGTGCGTATAATACACGAATAAATAAGTCTTGTGTACATTGGTCAATCGGAAGGGACGCTAATTGGGATTGTTCACTAGCCAATATATTAGCTAATATCGCCAAGGGCGCTTATTAGAGTGGGGCGCTTATTACGTCGAATACGGTATATATTTAACAAGAAGCCTGTGTTACAAGTTTTAAAGCTCAACTCACCTTGTTCCAGTTCAACCTCTTGGTCTGTGTATTTGTAGAGTATTTCTTCTTGGGCTGCATGCCAAATGGTAGTACGTTTGTTGGGGGAGAGGGGGCGCCAGGGGGACTGAAAGCTCCGGGTGGTCGGGGCGCCCCGGGAGGGGGTGGGGGCGGAGGAGGTCCCCCACCTGGAGGGGGTGGGGGCGGAGGTGGTGGTGGGCCACCACCAGGAGGGGGTGGAGGAGGAGGTGGGGGTGGTGGACCTCCACCAGGTGGGGGAGGGGGAGGAGGGGGTGGGGGCGGGCCACCCCCTGGGGGTGGGGGAGGGCCACCACCAGGCCCCTTGTTCAGTGCACTGCTCACAACTGTCCCTATTCCCTGAGAAATCTGTGAAACAGAAAGATAATAAACAATCACACTCAAAGTCAGTTCATGTTACTTAAATGACATGTTCCAAATACAAACATTCATTTGGGATAACACTTTCTAAGTAAAGTACAGATTCTAGTACTTTTTTGGGTTGAGTCCTCACTCTGGTGGGTGGGTTCGAATCCCGGACGGTACTCAACCATTGTGTATTCATAGCTTTCGGCCATGGGAGCCAGCCGTGCCAATTTACACTTGTCAGAGGGGTGCTCAAAGTACGTTATCTAGACTACCAGTTGTCGGACTTTCATTTTTGTGGAAGCCTCGGTGGCTGAGTGGGTTAGATCGCTGACTTTGTGTGCTGGCGATTAGGTGCCTCACTCTGGCAAGTGTGGGTTCGAATCCCGGACGGGACTCAACCAAAAAAAGTACTAGAATCTGTACTTTACTAAGAACGTGTTATCCCAATATAACATTTGTTACATTTGACCACTTTCTAAATGGCATTGTGTATTCAATGAAATCAAAGACAAATAACGATAAACACTGGGACACTAGGAGAAACAACAAGATAGGTCACAATGTCATTCAGAAAACAGTCAAATGTAACAAATGTTATATTTGGGATAACACTTTCTTAGTGAAGTAAAAATTCTGTACATGGCAAAATTTCATTTGTACTTTACTAAGAAAGTGCTATCCCAAATATGACATTAGTGACAAAGTTACATCATATATTTTATACTATAGTTTGTCACACAAAATGTTCAGAGCATCTGTATACATTAACCGACAACAGATGTATATTAAATGGAACAAGAATGGTCGGTAGGATGATGTATATAATGTCTTTTATCAAACAGAGACAGAACACATTACACATAATGATTTTCTTTATCTGTAGGAGAGAGAGTGAGGAAGTTGGGTTTAGTGCCACTTTAAACAGTTTTCCAGTTACATGACAGGATTGGTTGGTTGGTTTGTTGTTTAACGCCGCACTCAGCAATATTCCAGCTATATGACGGCGGTCTGTAAATAATCGAGTCTGGACCAGATAATCCAGTGATTGACCTCATGAGCAATGATCCAGGCGATTGGGGTTGATGACATGCATCAATCAAGTCAGCGAGTCTGACCACCCGATCCCGTAAGTCGCATCTTCACGGGTCCACCTTAAACAACTGAGCCACCCATCAGTAGGTGCTTGAGCACAAATGTCATGCTTGGTTGTGACGAGGGCAGGGATGAAAATCTTACTTAATAATAGTTACACCTGACAATAATAGTACCGTAACAAATGTCATATTTTCAGTAAGTACAAATTCTAGTACTTTGTTGGGTTGAGTCCCATCCGGGTTTCGAATGCACACTGCCAGCGTGAGGCACCCAATAATTCTACTGATAATGATTCCATAAAGTTACATTGTCTATCAAGTGAATGAAGTTCACCTTTCAAAGAGAAACTTCATGACATTACTATTGTACCTTTTCTTTGAGTTGAGCCAGCTCCTGCTCATATCCCTTGATCTTCTCGTCCAGACTCGTGGCCTTGGCCTCCGACTCCTGCTTGGCCGTCAGTGCTGCCTCCAGCTTTGTGTTCATCTCCCCGATATTCACATTGGAGTCCTCAAACTTGGACTTCTCCGATAAACTACCTGCAAGTAAAAGTACCAGTGTTGGAAGTTCAAGGAGGTCATAGCCTCTTTTGGAATTGTGATCAATGGTTGTATGAGTTTAAACATCATAACATTGGCCTTCCTTTACAGTACAGTTTTTCTAGAGGGTTGGGGACAGGCAGCACAGACAATTCCTAGACATTACAAAGTATTTGCCACAGTTTCGTTTTCATAAAATTAAACTAATGCAGCCACACAAATCAGTTTAAGCTGGTATTGAATTTGTAGAACCTGTTTTTTATGGACAAAACTGATTTGACTGAGTAGAAAACCTCCACACTATGGAGTCCATACAAACTTTTAGCATCTCGGTCACTTCCAGATTAATCACAAAAGTAAGGAAGAGAACTTATGGATGTCAACTTCTTCCATTTGTCCATTGCTAATCACAAAGCAACGCCAATTATCTATTGGCTTCCCTTTTAAGAATCCACCTTTGTTATCTGATTACTTTTGTTGTTCTTACAGGTACTCATGTTTTCTGCCTCAAAGCATTTATTCACCTGATGAAGGAGTAAGAGTATACACCAAAACATTGAGTTCCACATAATAAAGAAGTTGACATCCATCGCCCCATACGACCAGCATGGGTTGTTGTGAGTACTTCTCTAATTCACCTCTCGGTGAGGTGAGGTGAAATGGGGTTTAATGTCGCGTCCAAGATTATTGCACTTATATAGCGACGTGCATGCACGTGTGTGTCGCTGCTTGTACTAGTCCGGACTAATGCCGATTTACATGTTAGCCCACTGAGATACCATGCCGCAGTTTAACATGAATACCCCACTTAGACACAGTACACTGACTCCGAGCCGACCATTCCTTGTTTCAGCCCCTTAAAGCTGAGCGCCAGACAGGGCAACTACAAGTACCATCTCTTGATGTCTTTTGATATGACGAGGCCTGGGATCAAACCCCGGACCTTCCGCTCTCTGGGCGGATGCTCTACCACTGGAGGTGGTCTCTCCAACTCGGACTCCCCCAGGGGTCGGCATTTGATGAAAGAACATTCCTTTGTCTGACAAACTTACTTAGAAGAGGTTCGACATCTATTTCAAATCTCTTGGTGTGCCGGAAGTCGGGATCCACGCCACTCTTATGCAGCACTATCTGGGTGACACACTCCTCTATGAGTTTGTAATACTGGGGTCTGTCACATGAAAAAGAAAATAACTGTGTAATAAACCATTTTGCTATCTATGATACAAAGGATATTCCTATTTTCGAACTAAATATGTTGTCAATCTTATCCAGTGACCTGACAAAGTTAATATTTTCATGAGTGTCACTTCCGTGTTCAAGACAACAGGGTTCCACTGTATATAGTGATTCATTTATAGGTAAATGGTTTGGAAACAAGGGGGAATAAACATATCTTCACATATCTTCATATTTCTTAATGTTTACTTAATGGGACACAGCTTCTAATGGCATAATGAGCATCAGACTCTATAAGGACGTTATTGGAAGAGAGGTTTGTAGTTATGTAAATTAGCGAATTTGTAGATGCTGAATCGTGATAGCGCTGCAGTACAGAGCTACTTGGGCTGGGACAGGTAACTCGGGTCCTCAGCTCGTGTTGGTGCTCAGTCGGACCCGGGTACCCACAGGACTGCCTGGACCCGTGGTTAGTCACGTAATATGTTGTTTAATGACAAAAATTATCAAGAACTCCGTGAATACACTAAAGGTCACGAATGTTCATATTTCTTTCGGACTATTCACGCATTCCTTCTGACATATATTTTTGAATAAAGATAAAGCTTCAGTCAAGTTCAGTTATGCATGACCAGATCATTTTACAGTGTACCTGAATACTTTTTATCAGGTCTCTGGTCAAACAATTCCCTATCGGACATTTTGTACCTTGAGACCTACAGCGGGAACTCGGGGAGGGTTGGGAAATAGGGGAGTAGGTACCAGGGTAGTCAATTTGGACTTGTCCAAGCCCTACTAGGTACAATATCACAGCTACCCTAATCACTATTTATTTCCTGTTGTTGAGCTCACCTGGAGTACAGGTCATCTCGGATAGTCAGCAGGTGCTGCAGGATTGACAGGAAGTAGGGCTCCGACACGGTGTCCTTGATGGAAGCAGCAATCAGTTCGAAGCACTGGCCGGAATCGGTGAGGCAGTTAAGGAGATTACATCAAATCATGGTGAGTGAGTGAGTGAGTGAGTGAGTGAGTGAGTGAGTGAGCCTGTAGCAGTCCTATCTTCTAGAGACAACAGGGGAAGTAACCCAAGACAACCACGACAGACATGAGTGAGTGAGTGAGTGAGTGAGTGAGTGAGTGAGTGAGCCTGTAGCAGTCCTATCGTCTGGAGACAACAGGGGAAGTAACCCAGGACAACCACGACAGACATGAGTGAGTGAGTGAGTGAGTGAGTGAGTGAGTGAGTGAGTGAGCCTGTAGCAGTCCTATCGTCTGGAGACAACAGGGGAAGTAACCCAGGACAACCACGACAGACATGAGTGAGTGAGTGAGTGAGTGAGTGAGTGAGTGAGTGAGTGAGTGAGTGAGTGAGCCTGTAGCAGTCCTATCGTCTGGAGACAACAGGGGAAGTAACCCAGGACAACCACGACAGACATGAGTGAGTGAGTGAGTGAGTGAGTGAGTGAGTGAGCCTGTAGCAGTCCTATCGTCTGGAGACAACAGGGGAAGTAACCCAGGACAACCACGACAGACATGAGTGAGTGAGTGAGTGACCGAGTGAGTGAGCCTGTAGCAGTCCTATCGTCTGGAGACAACAGGGGAAGTAACCCAGGACAACCACGACAGACATGAGTGAGTGAGTGAGTGAGTGAGTGAGTGTGTGAGTGAGCCTGTAGCAGTCCTATCGTCTGGAGACAACAGGGGAAGTAACCCAGGACAACCACGACAGACATGAGTGAGTGAGTGAGTGAGTGAGTGAGTGAGTGAGTGAGTGAGTGAGCCTGTAGCAGTCCTATCGTCTGGAGACAACAGGGGAAGTAACCCAGGACAACCACGACAGACATGAGTGAGTGAGTGAGTGAGCCTGTAGCAGTCCTATCGTCTGGAGACAACAGGGGAAGTAACCCAGGACAATCACGACAGACATGAGTGAGTGAGTGAGTGAGTGAGTGAGTGAGCCTGTAGCAGTCCTATCGTCTGGAGACAACAGGGGAAGTAACCCAAGACAACCACGACAGACATGCCCACCTATCATAGAGGGAACATCTGAGATCATTGGGATTGAAAATTAGTCATGTTTTTTTTTGCTTTTTAATAAATCACCATTTGCATGAATGATGTTTTATTATGATATAAATTGCATCACTCTAACTCCTGACAAGTATAACTATGTGACAATGTCTGTGATTATTTACTTAAAACATCCACAAAAATAAGAAGTACAAAGTAACTGGGTCACATCAACATGTTGTTTACGTTTCTTTGGCCTTTTTTATGCTTTCTACAGTTGTTGATACTGCTCCGACAATGAAACCATTAAATAGTTAATTTTACAGGGTATGTAACAAAATATGTAATATACCGTATTTGACATAATGATTCAAAAATCGTTCACAACCATACATTTCTGATCAGAGCTCCAGATAAGCTTTTGGTGTTGTGGGTATTTTACCCATGCATTTTAAAATCATTGGGTATCAGTAATTCTATCCGGGTATTCAAATTTCTGTTACCCACTAGTTTTTACACATGTGGGTATTTAAGTTAAATATTTAAAAACACTATTCATCTAGTCCCTGCAAACTGGTGTCGTGTGGGTTCGAGAGCTTTATAGGACTCAAAAATACCACGACACTTCCACAAGAAAGTGTGATGGCAAATGATCATGATGTAACTGTCATCGTGGAGTTTGGCAAAGTTGACGGAATGCCCGTTTATAATTTCAAAATAAGTTGTTGATTTGCTAATCGAATACGCAGGGTTATTTCACAATATTTTTATGATACGCACAAGTTTTATTTTTGTAGCGTATCTGTAATGTTCGTTGCGTATTTGATACACTTGGATTTTATTTTACTGCATATTTCTGCATTTCTGATGCATATTTTACGCAGATACACAGCTTATCTGGAGCTCTGCTGATGAAACTAATTTCAAAAGTATGAATTGTATTGACAACTACAAAACTAAATCAGCTAATCAGAATAATAATGGTTTATCAGAAATGTTGCAGTAGTAGTTGTTGCAGATATTAGACCAACTGGGCCACAGAAAGCCTATTTGCACCCATCTCTGTAATGAAAATGTATTTGAATTATCTCCCCTTGATCACTACCTCAAGTCACATGTTTTTTATTCATTTTGTTTTGGGTGTGTGTCTGTGGGGGGGTGTCTGGGGGAAGGTGTCTGGCGCGGGTTGAGAAGAGGGTGCTACAATTTGAAAGAGATAATTACAACAAAAGAGTTATGTTATATGTTATTATTTTCTCCTGCACATCCAACAAGACTGCACTGTGTCACAATTAACATCTACTGCTTCTACTGGTTATTTGTTGTTTAACGCAGCACTCAGCAATATTCCAGCTTTATGACGACGGTCTGTAAATTATCAAGTCTGGACCAGAAAATCCAGTGATTGATATCATGAGCATCGATCCATGCAATTGGGATCGATGACATGCTGCAACCAAGTCAGCGAGCCTGACCACCCGATCCTGTTAGTCGCCTCTTACGGCAAGCATGAGTTGCTGAAGACCTATTCTATCCCGGATCTTTACAGGTCCGCTGTACCATGAAGATACATACTACAGTCTGTGCAAAACACAATTTCAGTCCACTAGCCTGAACTTGTCTTTCAGTAACATTTTCGGTAAGATATTTCTGACCACAGTGACTGTTATCAACAAAGTTTACTGGACCAAAATCAGATAAAGGCTTCGGCTTCAGTGGCTGGTATGTAAAGTCGCAAACTGATCAAGGATATTCTATCTCCATGTGGACGTTGTCGTATCTGTGAGAGAACTCTTCAGCATCTTCATCTTTGTGTTCATGGAAGATCTGGACCTGTGTCTTTACCTCATCGTCCGTCTGCCCATCTAGTGTCTGAAACAGTCAACAGTGAGTGAGGGAGATGGCTCAACATGGCATTGATTGATTGATTGATTGATTGATTGATTGATTGATTGATTGATTGATTGATTGATTGATTGATTGATTGATTGATTGATTGATTGATTGATTGATTGATTGATTGATTGATTGATACAAACACCAATATATTCAAATTGACATTATCGTTAAGGTTTTGGTGTTTTAGTTAGAATTATCTCCCCTGGACCCTGTTCCCCAAAACAATCTTAGCATAACTCCCTTACTTCAACATAAGACTTATGAGCGTTACAGCGAATAGATCGTGCTGTGGAATGGAGCCGTGGACAATTACACTTACCGGCATCAGGTCGATCATGCCTGTCCTCATGATTTCATTCCGTAGATGTAATCGGAAGTCGAGGTCGTCCGGCGTACTCACAAGTGCATTGACAAGTTGTATGCAGGCAAGCTGGAAGAATAGATCAGCACAGTGAGACATCACTCGATGAAGCATGCGACTTGCTTCTATAAACAGCATTTCATGCAATGGGGGGACGTCCTAACTGAGTCAGGTCCTAGTATTTTCTACCCCCTATGAAACCTGCTGGTTACCGTGCTGACAGACCAGGGCTCATCAGTGAGTGAGTTTGTTGTTCAACACCGCACTCAGCAATATTCCAGCTATATGACAGCGGTCTGTATATATAATCAAGTGGACCAGACAATCCAGTGATTGACATCATGAGCATCGATCCCCGCCATTCGGATCAATGACATACATCAAGCAGGGTGTATCTGGGATCTGATCCCACGACCAGCTGTAATGGAAATTACACACAAGAGGCAGTGTTTGGAGTTTTTGAGATCCTGGATCATCACATTTAAATCTTGGTGACTCTTTTAAAACTTATTTTCTAACTGACCTCTTGTGCTGAAGCCATTACTTCAAACACTGCCTTGTCATGCTATCACTGTAACCACCCAATCCCCATGTTGTCAACTAACCACCTATTCCCCTTCTAGTTAACTAACCACCAATTCCCCATTTTAAGGAACTAAACAACCAATAGTTGTTTAGTTAATTAACCACCCATTCCCAGTTTTAGTTGTCTAAACAACCAATTTCCTTTTAGTTAATTAACCACCCAATCAACATACTAGTTAACTCTTACAACAAGGCCAGCTGGGGACAGTCTCATTGTTACGTACCTGCATAGGGAGGTTTGAGTGATGTCGTGGGTGTGTTACGTACCTGCATTGGGAGGTTTGAGTGATGTCGTGGGAGTGTTACGTACCTGCATAGGGAGGTTTGAGTGATGTCATGGGTGTGTTACGTACCTGCATTGGGAGGTTTGAGTGATGTTGTGGGAGTGTTACGTACCTGCATAGGGAGGTTTGAGTGATGTCGTGGGTGTGTTACATACCTGCATAGGGAGGTTTGAGTGATGTCTTGGGTGTGTTACGTACCTGCATAGGGAGGTTTGAGTGATGTCGTGGGAGTGTTACGTACCTGCATAGGGAGGTTTGAGTGATGTCGTGGGAGTGTTACGTACCTGCATAGGGAGGTTTGAGTGATGTCGTGGGAGTGTTACGTACCTGCATTGGGAGGTTTGAGTGATGTCGTGGGAGTGTTAGGACCTGCATTGGGAGGTTTGAGTGATGTCGTGGGAGTGTTACGTACCTGCATAGGGAGGTTTGAGTGATGTCGTGGGAGTGTTACGTACCTGCATTGGGAGGTTTGAGTGATGTCGTGGGAGTGTTACGTACCTGCATAGGGAGGTTTGAGTGATGTCGTGGGAGTGTTACGTACCTGCATAGGGAGGTTTGAGTGATGTCGTGGGAGTGTTACGTACCTGCATTGGGAGGTTTGAGTGATGTCGTGGGAGTGTTACGTACCTGCATAGGGAGGTTTGAGTGATGTCGTGGGAGTGTTACGTACCTGCATTGGGAGGTTTGAGTGATGTCGTGGGAGTGTTACGTACCTGCATAGGGAGGTTTGAGTGATGTCGTGGGAGTGTTACGTACCTGCATTGGGAGGTTTGAGTGATGTCGTGGGAGTGTTACGTACCTGCATAGGGAGGTTTGAGTGATGTCGTGGGAGTGTTACGTACCTGCATAGGGAGGTTTGAGTGATGTCGTGGGAGTGTTACGTACCTGCATTGGGAGGTTTGAGTGATGTCGTGGGAGTGTTACGTACCTGCATAGGGAGGTTTGAGTGATGTCGTGGGAGTGTTACGTACCTGCATAGGGAGGTTTGAGTGATGTCGTGGAAGTGTTACGTACCTGCATAGGGAGGTTGTCCCTCATGCCCATCCCCATGATGATAGGGATGAAACGCTCTTGGCTCCGGATCTCCCCGCACACTGTGATGCCCTCCAGAGCCCTCTCGTGTCTGTACAACAGTTACACACAATTAGAACAGTCCTTTCATAATCTCACAAATAAGTTGTACCTTTAGGCATGTAATAGTTGGTATTTGATTCAAAGTACAAATTAAACAGGGTAAAAGGATGTTCACATAGCATGAAGGGTAGTGAAGCTGCATACTGTATGCGCGAGTTTGGTTTAACGCAACTTTGAGCAGAATTTTATTTGCCTCACGGTGGAACAGCTTGAAGTGGGAAGACAACCCGAAATGATGCAGACCATAAGACAATTACCACTTTGTGAACCCCACAATAATCAGGGCAAATCTGGGATTCAAACCCAAGATCATCAGATTCTGGAGCACACAAGGGACACAACTCTGCACTTCATACTTCATCTCCTCAGACAACTAGTGAGTGAATGAGTATGGTTTTACACCACTTTCAGCAATATTCCAACAATATCACGGAGGGGGTCACCAGAAATGGGTATTCACACATAGTACCCTCTTTAGACAACTAGGTCACCAGTGCCGTTGGTTGTCCGAGTAATGATTATTGTCTGATTATTTATGTATTTGATCACCCGGGACCCTGAATTAGAATTACACATGCAGACAAAGAGAGTACACCTTTGTCTGGGATGAATAAGAGTGAGAGAGTGAGTATGGTTTTACGCCGCTTTTAGCAATATTCCAGCAAAATCACGGCGGGGACACCAGAAATGGGCTTCACACATTGTACCCATGTCGGGAATCGAACCTGAGTCTTCGGCATGACGAGCGAAGGCTTTCACCACTAGGCTACCCGACCCAGGGATGAAGAAGAGCCCAAAATGTAAACTCTGCCCTAATACCAGCAGGTCCGAGGTGGTCCAGTTCATAAGACTGACCATGTCTTGGAATCATTAACAAAACCAACAACAAGTCATGCGTTGAGTAGCTGGTCAACACAACCTAAGACTGACAAGACTATCTAGATACTAACCACCACACAGTGCTGTATATTAAAACATACATTTCTATCTTATTAGTAAAGTAAACGAGCACCATAGATTTTACATTTCCTTAAACGTTCTTCTGTCCTGTTGCTAAACATTATATGTGATGTCGTGCGAGGTTTTAAGCCACTTTAACCAATATTCCATCAATATCACAGCAAGGAACTCCAGAAATCAGGGATGAGAATAGAGAGTTTTTCTTTTCAGCTGAAACTTCTTTGCAATGGAGCGTGGTCCATAATTTGGGGGTGTTTATGGGGGAAACTATCACATTTTAACCAATTTGTGGTCACTAATATTCGTGGAAATTGGAGAAAGATTCCCATCCCTGAGAAAAGGGTGTCACAAATTGTACCATTTGAAATGTGCCAGATTCCATTTACCAAGTGAAACTCATGGCGCCATATTATTATCACCCTTATCTTTTGGATCAGTGTGTAAATTTTATTCTCAACCCCCTGGGGAGTATACAACCCATGTTGCCGCAAGAGGTGCTGGAAGGCCTACAGTCACATTTCCATCTCATCCTACCTGGTACCCATTCATGGCTGGAAGGACAACTACATGATCTGTGAATTAATTGTATACAAACATTTCTTCAGTCAAACACACACCTCCCATGACTGAAGTAACCACATGACTGGATGACTGTGTCACATGACTGAAATGTGGTTTTCCATTGGTTGATAGTCAGTAAGCCATCCCATTGGCTTACAAAGTCTCCAGATTGAATAAAAATCCAAATGGGCTTACTGAGTCACATGACTGAAATAAATCCCCTGATTGGTTAACCGTAGTCACATGACTGTTGAAAACCTACCCATTGGGCGGAACAAGACATATGGCAGCAAGGAGACGAACAGCTTCAAGCATGGTTTGTGGGTCGGAGGGGTCGACGGTCCGAGAGAGGATGGTTAAAGCTTCTTCGTGATTTAATATTTCCATCAAACCGAACTGAAATCAGGTACATGCATGGCAGTCACTGGTTAGACACAGAAAGCAGTGTACAACACAACACAGGATATTCACACAGTTTTTTCAATGAACGAGTGAATGTAGCTTAAAACGCTGTAAGCATCATCCACTGTGAACAATTAAGTCTGAGCAAGACAAACCAGTGGTTGATAGCATGAGTGACAATCCATGCTGTTGGGGTATGACGACACACACTCAACCTGGTCTCAGCTGACAGTGAGTGAATGGTGTTTAATGCAACAACCAGAAAAATTAGTTTTTTTCATGGCATCCTGTAAATAATCAAGTTACGAAAAGCAAGCATGGTGGTTGACAGCATGAACAACGATCTGCATTTTGCGGACATATTTAGCCTGGGGAGGTCAAAATATAAACAAGTTGTGTGGCTCAATACCTTTCATCTTACTTGGCAAACAGGTGTATGAGTCAGTCAGTCAGTTCAGAAGGAAAAAATATAATCTAGTTGCATTTAATGTTTAAAATGCAGGAAGTTCACTATTTTTATCAAGCTTACAGTAACATGTACAAAAATTATTTCTGTCAGAGAGTGAGTGACTGAGTATGGTTTTATGCCGCTTTTAGCAATATTCCAGCAATATCACGGCGGGGGACACCAGAAATGGGCTTCACACATTGTACCCACGTTGGGAATCAAACCTGGGTCTTTGGCGTGACGAGCAAACGCCTTAACCACTAGGCTACATGACCGCCCTCTGTCAGAGAAGGCTTGTTCTCTATTTGAGCTGTTTGAAGTAGCCACAGATTTCAGTCTGTAGGCTATTATAAACCACAGGCACAGTGTTCCTAATGTTCCTCTGACACAGGAAGTGGGAGCAGGTTCAAATGTGGTCTTTCAAACCATCGGAGTGAGTGAGTTGGGTTTAACGCCACTTTTAACAGTATTCCAGTTATATCGCGGTGTGTGAGAGGAAAACCTGAAGTGATGCAGGTCTCAGACGTTTACTACTTCAGTGAAACCCACGAGCTTGGGTATGGTGCTGACAAACCTCGAAACATAATCGGGGTTAATCGGGATTCGAACCCACAATCAAAGGTTTCTGGCGTGCCCAAGGGACACAACTCTGCACAGCCCGCTCAAATACTCGGACATTTGACCACTTGAATGACTTGCTTTTGAAACTCAACTTTTCACGCCAAATAATTTGTGTAATAAAATAGCTGACCTCCCTCATAACTGCTATGTAAGTAAAACTATGTGCACCTAGGTACAACAGACACAGCAAGACAGTGCTCTGTTAGCTGTAAGATGTGTGATGTCTGGGAGTGGAACAATGTCGTTTGTTTCTTTATTATTTAACGCTGCACTCAGCAATATTCCAGCTGTAAGACGACGGTATGTAAATAATCGAATCTGAACCAGACAATCAAGTGATTGACATCATGAGCATCGATCCATACAATTGGGTTACGATGACATGCATCAACCAAGTCAGCGAGCCTGACTCCCTGATCCTGTTAGTCGCCTCTTAAGACAAGCATTGTCGCCTTCTACAACAAGAATGGGTTGGGGAGGAAAAGTCTGGAACAATGTCACATGTAAGTCTCTATGTTAAAAACTTTTGAGTTTACACGCCGAACATCAGTATCAGATTTGAAATTTCAGTAGAAATTTGGGCTACATTGTATTATCCGTTTACTATTCGACCCGTGAAGATTCCGGGGTAGAATAGGTCTTCAGCAACCCATACTTGCCGTAAAAGGTGACTCTGCTTGTCGTAAAAGGCAACTAACAGGATCGGGTGGTCAGGTTCACTGACTTGATTGATGCATGTCATCGATCCCAATTGGGTGGATCGATGCTCATGATATTTATCACTGGATTGTCTGGTCCAGACTCGATTATTTACAGACCGCCGTCATATAGCTGGAATATTGCTGAGTGCGGCGTTAAACAACAAAGCAACCAACCAACCGTTTACTATTCCAATTTGCAAACTGAATAATACATATTACTAATATACTATACAAAATTGACAGATATTTCTTCAAGAAATTTAAAGTTTTAGTCCAAGAATAATGTGTAAGTTCATAATAGAATCATAGAGGGTTGTACCAAGTCCTGATAGTTCCTATTACTGAGACTGATCCATTGAATATATCACCACAATTGTTTCACTCCCACAAGTTAGTTACACCACGATCTTCCCGAGGCAAGAGAGTAAACTGACTTTAAAAGTCCAGTTTCCACCCTTGCCGAACTAGGCTGGAATTCCTGGGCTCGATCGTAGTGCCCCCAGTGGCTATTACGTGTTACGTGTCCTTTCTATGCCTCTCCTATTGACCAATGAGATTCAACCTCTCGTATCACTTGCATTTGCTTCAAACAAAACGGTGGCGCCCAGTCAAGACGATCTGATTGATAATCAAGATCTATATTGTGATAAAACGAGTCTTACATCGCAAAGTGCATCAAATCACGTGAGCACCTTGATTAATAGCATGAAAAGATTTAGAAAATATCTGCTGACGAGTTGGCATGCACATGCTTTGCAAATCCTGCAGTCGACCGAAATCTGCATGACACTTTATGAACCGGATTCCGATTTCAGTGCGCGATTTTGATTGGACTATGCATAGACTCGTTAGTCCAGCCAAAATGTAACTCCATAATACCAGCCTAGTTCGGCTAGGGTGGAAACTGGACTTTTATTGTCAGTTAACTCACTTGCCTCGGGAAGATGTTGCATCACATACTAACAGCAACAAACACACAGTGGGAAACGTCCCTTACCTAATACCACACTTTCTAAAATTAGTTATCAAGTCAAGCTAACAAAGTAAGATTTCAAACTTCCAAAGAATTAAATCTTAAGATAAGCAAACTAATAGGGAACAACATTTTGTCAAAATTTTCAAAATAAAACAAGAGATCGTCCATGTGAGCTAGGGCAATGTTAGAGATGTGCAGCCATGCCAACACTCACCTTATTATTCATGTACGCCTTTAGGCATCGCACACACTCGTAGGTGCTTCTCCTTTCAGCCTTCCTGGAAAAATAATCGATGGAGTGAGAAAGCTAGTGAAAGTTGTTTTTCCCGGAGTCAGCAATATGCTGTTTGTATCAAAACAGCCTGTAAAATCAAATTGCCAAACAAATTCATATTTGATATTATGACCAACATCCCAAGCCATTGGGATATGATGACATTCAATCAACAAAAATCACAGAGTGACCGACCAATCCACTTTTGTTGCCTCTTATGATAAACTCTGGGAGCATATTCTAACCCAGGTCTCAATGGCAGGATACGACTTCGTTCTTTTTAACACCTGCTCAAGGTGCAACTGAGTGAATTAATCAGGTTGCACCACCAAATATTGGCTACAAACACTGGGTTCTTTTAAAGTTATTTTGAATATTAAAAAAAGTCATGTTCTCCATTATTTTGTTTTGAGGAAATCTGTATATGGCTTTTCACTTCTCGCCATCCAGTAAACAAACCAACACAGAATTTTCAAGGTGTGTTTGTTGTGATTGTAACCACATGACTGTCTGTCCAAGTGGTAATTTTGAAGAATTAGTTCTGCAAGTTCACTGCATTCAGAACTGTGTATTTCACTATTTTCATGAACTTTTGATTCCTGGATTCTAAAATATTTGCAGACAGATCTAAAAGAATTCAATTGTCAACATTTATCAAATATAACTGTGCATGTGTGGTGGGAAAAGTTACCTGCACTGGGTGCATCCTGGCAATACAAGTTACCTGCACTAGCAATGATTTACCTGCACTGGTGCAACTTGGATATAGCCAAATCAATCCCTGCATGGTAGAAGAAGAATTTCTCAAACTTACGAATCACAGCAGTATGTCAAATTACGCAGAACAGCATTGAGTCCTTGTTCTCCAAAGCCTTGGACCCAGCTGAAAAGAGTAAAGACATTTTCTTGGGCCTGGAAATGAAGTAGAATCACAAACAACCAGTTATCCCTTGATAATATTTGTATACATCTTCCTGAGGCAAGGGAGTTAACTAACTTTTAAAGTCCAGTTTCCACCCTTGCCGAACTGGGCTGGAATTACTGGTCTTGATCAAAGCGCCACCAGTGGCTATTACCAGTTATGTCCCTTCTACGCCTCTCCTATGGACCAATCAGATTCCTCCTCTAGTATCACTTGCATTTGCTTCAAACAAAATGGAGGCGCCCAGTCAGGACATATATCCATATATTGCGCCTAGAAAATGATGCCTACGGTGCGTAGTCATGGAGTCTTGCGATCATTGCATATTCACTGTATCATAGGTATGGTTTATGTTATTTGTTGCCAACCCGGTCTGGAGGGGCATATGGTGTGTGCCCTGTGTGCAAGTCTGTGGCCTACATCAGCTCACACACTGGGTACATCACATCATACACCCAGAGAGACCAGTTGACAAATAATTTATCTTACCGGCCAGTGCCAGGCTCTGTTCCAATTAAAAGGAAACCATTGCGAGATTAAATTAACACGTGACCTAAACATATGGCACATATACATTGCCATGGAATTCCCATTCTGCACAAGACACCAGTTTTACAACAATAGGACCTTTGCGCCAAAAAATCTAATGACTTCTTACAAAGCACAATAAGCTTTGTTGGGATTTAATAGTGCTTGGAGTAAACACAAGATGGCTATTTTTAATGTTTCTCTACAATTTTAATGAATTTGAAACAATTTTCTATGACACTTGAGCATGACATCAAGGTTCTACTACACCAAATCAGAACCAGTTGGGACAGTGCGGTTTTCGTAGGGTTTTCGTAGGGAGCCTTCAGTGCAGATCGAGAGATAGCTGCAGGCTGTGATTGGAGGATATTGTGTAAGATTTTTATGTCTTTCAAATGTACATCCATCCAGATACTAAAAACTGTCCATGTTTTTCTATATTTAGTACTGTCTTTTTCAACATGATGACTTATGCTGAATGTGACCACAGATACTTTCAAGTAGGTTACATTTGGTGCGAAACTGGGGGTGGTGTGTTTAGCTTCTTGTACTCAGAAAAGGAGATGGCTAAGCTAGTCATTTTTTTTTTTAATTGCTGCTCTAAGGACAAACTCTGCACACATGTACAGGTAATAGCTGTTGAATGCTTAGTTAATTTTTAAAAACATATAGAAGTCTATGGGAAAACATTTGGTTGTGTGTAACCTCAAGACCCCTGCAAAACTACAGAGAAAGGAGTTACTTCCCTTTGTAGTCCCTTTAAAGGCCCTTTAAAAACTATAAATGTCTTGAATTTTATTGAATTCCAAATGTGTAGAAAAATATGTTCTTGATTTAACAGGCCTCTTAAAAGACTGTGCCAGACTTGCCATACATGAACGTTCTAGGAAAGCTGTTGGCGCAGTGCCAACCATTTGCCATTCAGGCGAGCCCACCAACTTGGAAGGGTTTTTACAAGCAGGCAAATAGCCAATCAGATAGCTTGATTCTTTGACATGATAATGTTTCTTCAATGCTTGTATACCTGACAGGGTTACTGGTGAGTGACACCCGCAGCGACTCCAACACACTGAGGCGCTTCGCTCCTTTGAGATCTGCATTCCGCAACTGTGTGATGAAATCTTCTGCCTGGTCAGGCTCTCCTTTCCGAGGCTGTAACAGCGGGTTGGAACAATGAATACAGGGTACATGACAACATGAACAGATATGTCATCTTAAATGTCCCTTTTTACGACTTATTTTCACAATTTGGTGACAAAAGGGAAGATTGACTTCTGAAAATGTGCTAAAATCATGAAAATCTCTGAGAACATTGTCTCCAGCAAAATCACTGCTCTGAATTCTAATCCTTAATGTGATTCTATCCTGCCTTTTGCCAATAAAACGTTGGTATGGATGTTAGCAAGTTGGACACAATCACATACAAGTTGGGTAGAGTGAGTGAGTAAGTATGGTTTTACGCCACTTTTAGCAATATTTCAGCAATATCACGGCGGGGGACACCAGAAATGGGCTTCACACATTGTACCCATGTCGGGAATCGAACTGGGTCTTCGGCGTGACGAGCGAACGCTTTAACCACAAGGCTACCTGACCGCCCCACACAAGTTAGGTAGACAATATATATATGTTTACTTTCCATAAATAAATTTTACATAATTTTTTTTGAAGTTTTGGACGGATTTTCCTCCAATTTATTTATTGAAAAGCTAGATGATATTTAGGTTATTTTCTTGAGATGGGTGGTGTTAAGACAGCTTTTTCAAGGCACACTTTCCATTTTCAATGCCTTCTTTAAAAGCAATAACTACATACAAGGCACATCCATAGAGACCTAAAAACAGAGCTCTGAAGCTCACCTGGGCCCACTTGCACAAAGCGATCTTAGTGCTACAACTATTGTAAGCCTATGTTAAAGTATGGAAGTTACGATCATCTTAGCGCTAAGATCGCTTTGTGCAAGCGGGCCCTGAAGTATGATGAAATAATGAAGGCCATATTTCAAATCGGCTCAGAATTATGTGAGTAATTTTCCGGGACACCAGAGCTTGGATCAATCACACAAAGTTTCACAGCAAATTCAAAGCAAATTTCATAAAGGTACATGCAGAATGGCCAAAAATGACTTTTTTTATACGGCTGCTGTGGTGGCCATGTTTCAAATCGGATCCAAATTCTGTTAATTTTTAGCAGGGATCATTCATACAAAATTTCAGCTCCATAGGCCTTGTACTCCTAGACTACTGATGGATGGACAACTGGATGGACCATGTCTCGACATAACCTCCCATGAGTTTCAGTCAAGTGAGCTAAAAATTGAAGTCCTTTTCAAGCCTCGGGTAATCCTGAAGTAATCAACTGGTGTAACAGACACAGATAGGGAACCAAACACTAAAACTGTTCTACCAGGTATGCCAAAAAAGAATACTTGTTACCAGGGCCCCGTTCCACAAAGCAAACTTAGCGCTACGATTGTCGTAAGTCTATGTTAAAGTATGGAAGTTATGATCACCTTAGCACTACGATCACTTTGTGGAACTGGACCAAGTTGAGCTAATACTTAGCAAGTGATTTGGTGTAATAAGAGAACATTTGTCTCTATTGCCGGACTGTTACAATGACTGGTGGTTGGTTACCTTTGCCTTGCCCTTGTAATGCATCACTAGCATGGATCTCTTCAAGTTATCATCTCGGGAACGCAATGGAGCCTTTTTCTCCTCAGTCAGGTTCATGTCATCCTGGAACCAAAAAAAGGGTCAAGGTCAAGATGTGCAAAGGTCAAGGTCAAGGTCAACAAAATACATGCATCATCACTGCAATGCAACAGAAATACACTATCACAGGATAAATGCTTACCATCACATTGCATTACTGCAAGTATTACATAATGGCTAAAAAAATATATTATCCTGAAGAAAAGACCAAAATCTGTACTAATAGCATGCTGAAAATGTAAAAACCTCAATTCTATGGAGGTAACACCACACAATAGTTTTATATTCAAATTTTATTCTTCAAATATGGGCCACATACTCAAAACCCAGTATGCATGAAATGATACATTAATAGAATTGGTAGAACTGACATGTTTCTAAGTAAATTGCAGGATACTGATTCCTTGGCATCGGTGTATCCCTCAATAGATATTGGAGAGATGTAAGAAAAGGCAATCCACTGGAAGGCAGTCTCAGCACAGTATATTTGAAAAGAACTGGCTTTCATATAAAAATAACCTGCCTGCTAGGCCAATCATTTATTGACAGATTTATACGACCAAAATCTGTTAGCATGAGCATAAATTGTCAAAGGTGAAGGTCAAGGTCCATGATTCCAGTAGGGACCCAAGTTAGAATATTCCCAAACAACCAACACAGGTGCTTGGAAGGCATTGTAGGAGTTGGTGAGCAAATAAGTGAGTGACTTGGGCTTAACGCCTCTTTTAACAGTATTCCAGTTATATCACGACGTGTCAGCTTAATGTGGGAGGAAAGCCCGAAGTGATGCAGGTCTCAGACATTTACCACTTTGGTGAAACCCACAAGCACAGGTATGGTGCTTACAAACCTAGAAACATAATTGGGGCGAACCTGCAGGATTCAAACCCACAATCATAGGTTTCTAGCATGTCCAAGGGAAGCCACTCTGCACAGCAAATCACAGCGCCTTAGACAACTAGGCCCCCCCATGCCCCAAGCAAATAAGAAAACATACAACTTTATGGATAACAACTTCTGGTTTACTGCACTTGGTAAAATACCGATGTAGATTCGTACATCGTTATCAAACTTCATAACGGTGTAAGGATCTTCATCGAAATGTTGCTAGATGCAATAAACCAGAGTGAGTGAGTGAGTGAGTGAGTGAGTGAGTGAGTGAGTGAGTGAGTGAGTGAGTGAGTGAGTGAGTGAGTGAGTGATTTAGCTTTATTCCAGCAATATCATGGTGGGGGACACCAGAAGTGGGCTTCACACATTGTACCCATGTCGGGAATCGAACCCGGGTCTTCGGCGTGCAATATCCCAGAAGTAGATATCCACAAAGTTGAATGTTTTATCAACCTATGCTGGTCAAGAGGGGGGCTACATTGGGTGGGACGGTCAGGCTCCGTGACTTAGACATAAAAAGCGCCCAGGGTGCTCTCAAAATTAGAAATAGGGGGCTCTTATTAGAATACTATTTTTGTGAAAGATAGTTTGTTTATAGAAATGTTTATATATGACAGATATATTTTTCCAGAATTTAATTGCCCATAATTAAGGGTGCATATACCAAACGTATTATACAGGAATAAATAAGTCTTGTGTATATTGAACAATCGGAAGGGGTGCTTATTGGGATTGTTCACTTACCAAAATATTAGCAAATATTAGAGCGGGGCGCTTATTAAGTCGAATACTCAAAAGAAGTTAAAGAACACCTGATTCTTTTATGTTACTATAGTTAAACTACATTAATATAACATGATCACATTCTGTTGTGGTATGAAAATGCCAAAGCTACAATATTCTTTGTTTTAATGCCAGACTGTATCAGATTTACCTATAGTCTAACAATGATACATGGTAAATGTTTTACATGAAACTGGAGCACACATAGGTATGACTTTACATTTTCTTTGAAAAAATCTAACCCTTATAACTTAGAACCAGTTTCACATTAGTGGCCATGTCAAACATTGAATTTGGAAAAAAATATCTTCTACAAATACTGCAAAATATTAAAGGATTGTGATATTTCACATTGAAATATACGATACCATATTGTATCACTCACCCAGTAAAATCTGATAGCACAGTAAGTCTGTAACTGACGTGCCGTACTGATATAAGCCGGCCTGTATTAACCATATTTTCCTATACCCAAAAAATAATCTTCTCTAATAATGGTTCTCTAAATATCCCAATGTAACTTCCATTTCAGACTTTACAGAAAAAGGGTCAATTCAGTGCAATTAAGTTTGAACTTCTCAAATATGAAGCACATGAAACTATTTGCTCCGTCTTGCCATTAGCGTGATAATTACTTTAGCCAAGACACAAATAATCAAATATTTCTTCTCAAATAATCATTTCAAGGCCAACCCTTTTAACGAATATGGTGCCATTATTTTAACAGATATACAAAACTGCTCTCAAACTGAAACATATTTTTTCAAAATTGGTAAATTTGTATACAAGTTACTAACACAGCAGCCATAACTGAACACAATCTGTTTATGTTGTTATTGTTGTTGGTTTGTTGTTTAACCCCTCTCAGCAATATTACAGCTATATGACGTGAGTCTGTAAATAATCGAATCTGGACCAGACAATCCAGTGATTGACATTATCTGCATCGATCCACGCAATTGGGATACGATGACATGCATCAACCAAGTCAGCGAGCCTGAGCCCGAGCCATTAGTCTCCTCTTATGACAAGCATGGGTTGCTGAAGACCTATTCTAACCCGGATCTTCACAGGGATGTTTATGTGTACAACATAAACACAATACTATCGTAAAATAGTGACAGAAACATGTGACAGTGAAATCGGCACCCATCACCAATTGACATTTACCACGGTTACCATTATAACTAGTTTCTTCATCTGCAATACAACACTACCGGATTAGCATCCTATTTCACTCCCATCACAACCTGGACCTGATTCACACTGGAGACACAAGATGGGCTTCCTTGGCAATAGCAACCAAGGCTTCTTTCTTTAAAACAAAGCAGTGTGTCATTTTTTGTCCTATTTAACATGACCTGTTTACAATATATGTTTAGTCCTAGCATTTATAAGTAACCCACATGTGTGGATCAGTGTCCGAAATAACCGCTTGCCTGTGGCTGGTAACTTTTCCGTCGGGCTGCATGAATTTTTTCTCCACTGCCTGAGTGGCAGATACTAACTACCGTATTCGACGTAATAAGCGCCCCGCTCTAATAAGCGCCCACGTCGATATTCGCTAATATATTGGCTAGTGAACAACCCTAATTAGCACCCCTTCCGATTGATCAATGAACACAAGACTTATATATTCGCGTAAAATACGCACTCATCTGTTATATGCACACTTAATTATGGGCAATTAAATTATGGAAAAATATATCTGTCGTACATAAACATTTCAGGCTGTCAGCATAAACCACGAAATTTACCTTTTAACTGTTTTTTTTCTATAAAATAATATTCTAATAAGTGCCCCCTATTTCTAATTTTGAGAGCCCCTGGGCACTTATTACATCGAATACGGTATTCAGTTAAATTTTAAGTTGTAGATTCTCAAGTAACTGTTTTGCATTATTTCAGATGAATCAAGATGCAACTTATCTCTTATTTTGCACGATTTTTCAATATCAATAATGAATGTGGGCAGGTAACTTTGAAGATGAGCAGGCAACATTTATGGGTCACCTGCCCGACTGTTGGGTTTTGAAATTATTTCAAACGTGTGTAGATTCCGGGTAAGGATATAGGTCCCCAGCAAGCCATGCTTGTTGTAAGAGGCGACTGACTGGATCGTGTTGTCAGACTCAATGACTTGGTTGATGCATATCATTATGTCACAATTACGTGGATCGATGCTCATGAAGTCAATCACTGGATTGTCTGGACGTGACTCATTCATGTACAGACTGTCATTACATAGCTGGAATAGGATTATGAAAATTGACACAATAATTTCTCTCCAGTGTACATCAGGGTATATGGAGAGGACGTGACGGGAGTGAAAACAGAAACTTATCTATTTGTGTTGTTTTGCAAATGAAAAACTTTTTTCTCCTCACATTTATTCATAGTAGAATAACCACGATTTCTACAATCCCTTTCATATTCACACAAGTGAAGAAATTAGCCGTGATGGTAAATGTCAATAACATTGCTTAGTGCAGTGTGAAACTACATAACAAACAAACAGTTTGGTTTGCGATTACTTTAGTATTTGTTAGATCACAGATTGATTTGTCAGATGTCAGAGGAAGGCCATACAGGGAAACAAGTTTCCATTTTGGCTACCCAAGGCCCCAGGCATCCCATTGATGTTGAAATTATTAAAGTGGATGGTCGCAGGCTCCGTGACTGACTGCAAGCCACTGTCCTGATGGCTTGGATAGTCACTGGCTTTCCTTAGTTGTATGTATAGTCTGGAAGTCAATTTAAGGTACTAACGTTTACTACAATATCTGAAAAACTATTGGACTCTGAAAAAGAATGCAAAAATAATTGGATATATATTATTAAATAACTGCTTGAGACGCCCAACGCTAACACCGTATTCGAGCGTGCGTGATTCCCGTGCAACCTTGCACCGATTGTCTTTAAATGTAATATCCAGTTATATATGACTGTTTAATAATCTCATACCAACTTTGACTGGAGTAGGTCCGATAGTTTTTCAGATATTGTAGTAAACGTCGGTACCTTAAATTAACTTCCAGACTTTAGAGGTGAAGCGATACAGCAAGGTCACGATATGATATGCATCACGATACAAAGGTCATGATACGATACGTACCGCGATATGCATATTTACATCAAATCGGTAGAAATGTCTTGACTATAAATATTTCAGAGCAGGTTCAAAAGGAAAAGCTAGCTATAGACAAATGTTCGTTGCGTCTTTTTTTAGTAGGAATTTAATTACAACACATTTTGCGATTTTAGACGGACAAAACTGACGGTAGATCATTAAATGAGCAGTAATGTATTTAGCAGGCGTATTGTCTTGTATCGATACAGTAAAAATGTAT